CACACCCCGCCCCCACCCACACGCGGCGCTCGCGATCAGTACGGGGACGAGATGGTGGGGGGCGAGCTGGAGAGCGTGTGGACGACGCTGGCCAACAGCTGGAGCGGGAACATGCGCGTGACGCTGCAGCACGTGATCGCCCTGTGCGGCGTGCGCACGGAGCCTCCGCTCCTGCCGCACGTGAGTCGCGGGGGCGCCGGTGGCGCCGCGCCCGTCGCCGCCATCGGCGCCCAGCGCCGTGACACCCACCATCGTCACACCAAACGCCAATGCCGTCACCATCGTCACACCCGTCGCCGTCACGCCAAAACGCCGCTGCCCTCACTCACCATCGTCACACCCACCACCGTCACACTAAACGCCGCGGCCCTCACCATCGTCACACCCAGCACCGTCACACCAAACGCCGCTGCCCTCACTCACCATCGTCACACCCACCACCGTCACACCAAATGCAACTGCCCTCCCTCACCATCGTCACACCCACCACCGTCACACCAAACTCCGCTGCCCTCACTCACCACCGTCACACCCACCACCGTCACACCAAATGCAACTGCCCTCCCTCACCATCGTCACACCCACCACCGTCACACCAAACTCCGCTGCCCTCACTCACCATCGTCACACCCACCACCGTCACACCAAACGCCAATGCCCTCCCTCACCATCCTCACACCCACCACCGTCATACCCACCACCGTCACACCAAACGCCAATGCTCTCTCTCACCATCGTCACACCCACCGCCACTGTTATCGCCATCACCGTCACCACGAAACGCCACTAACACCACCACTACTTGCAACACCTCTGCCACCACCACCACCGCCGCCGCCACCACCACCAGGATTGCGCGACCGCTGGCTGACGTAGCTGTGGTGCTCGTGTCGGTGGTGTCTGTGGTATGGGTGGCGGTGGTGGGCGGCGGCGGTGGTGGTCATGGTCGTGGTGGGCGGACCGGCAGATGAAGAAGGTGGTGATCTACCTGGCGAGGAACAAGCCGGTACAGCTGCTGGACGAGTTTGTGCGCGAGCTGCAGCTCACCGAGTCGGTGAACTCGGTGGTGATCCACACCGACAACCCGCCCTACTACCGCGTCGCCGGCGTGCACAAGACGCCGTCGCTCACGTCCGGTGAGGCTGCCGTGCGCGAGCGAGCTCGTGAGTAGGTCGGCTCGGCACCTGCTGCATCTGTCCCGTGACCTCCTGTCAGCAGTGAGCCTCCGAGACTTCACGTGGCCTCACGGTGCACCTGGCCTGGCACTTTTCGGCGAATGACGGGTTTTGGAGTAGGTCGACTCGGCCTCAAACGAGTTGCCTCGTGCGTGGTGTTTAAACATCGCCACTGGGGAGACAAAGGCGGTCGGGCGCGGTGCTGGCCCCACCCACCCCCTCGTGCGCTACAGTGCTACTCGCTAAACAGCACTCGTCCCAGCGGTCTGTACGAGGCTATGTGGAGGATGTATGTGTGAGTGTGGGGGAGTGGTTAGCGCGACAAACCCGGTGACCCGAGTTCGATTCCCACTCGCGGCCACCAACACCGGCGACGATTATCCGAACCGGTCCTGGTGAGGTGCGTCAACGTCGCCACTGGGGAGACAAAGGCGGCCGGGCGTGCTGATGGCCGCCCGCCCCGTCGCGTGCCGTGCCGGCCTTCATAGGTGCTGCTCGCTAAACGGCACTCGCCCCGACATTCTCTTAAGGCTATACGGGCGGTGGGGGGGCGGGGGGGTCTCTTTGTCTTTGTGTGTGAGCGAGTGCGAGTGGAGCGAGTGTGATATTCAATTGTGGATCACGAGACATGGGTCGGTTTCCTGCTTCCCGCGGTCCACATAGGCGCCACGGGTGGCTCGGAGATGATAACTACCTCGCCCTGGTATGCAGGAGGTGTGATGGGTTTCGATCCCGACCCTGATGCCTGTTGTGTATTTGCAGTTTGCGTGTCTCTCTCTCTCTCCGTGGTGAGATGTTAACTACCTCTCTCTCTAACGTGGCCGTGTGGATTTTTCTCCGGGTCCTGCGGTTTTTTTCCACCCTTCCACGTTTAGAATCAACGTCGCGCGTCTCAGTGCATTTGGCTGCCGCTCTAAACGTCCACGTGGCGATGATGATGATACAAGCCCGACTTAGTTGAGCGATCGTTTGTCGACGGCCCAACCGCTTCTCAAAACGAGCTTGTATAGTCGTTCGGCTGGGGGGGGGGCCCTTGCCGAGTAAAATTTAAAAAAATGTTTATTTAAAGCTTTCGTGACTGCAGGGATTCATATTCATGGTTCTTTCGGTAAAGTCACGTAGAAGGGAAACAGTAAAATAATCCAAATATAAAACAATTAAATTCTCACGACGTTTCGACTGCAACACAAGCAATCATCCATCATCAGGTGTGAAAACCACAGCAAGAAAATTTGAAAAAAGTGGCGGGTTTTTTTTTTACGTTAGCACCACGGAGAGCGATTTGGCAGTCATTCAGATGGACGAGTCCATCTACAGCGAGGGGAAAAAAAAGTATTTGATCCCCCGCCGACCCTGCATGCCCGCCCACTGACAAAGAAATGACCAGTCCCTTCTACGTGACTTTACCGAAAGAACCAAGAATATAAAAAAATGTGTTTAAATAAACATTCTGATTCTGATCATTCGTTTGATTACCCCGTCCCGCCCCTCCACCTAAACGGACGAACGTTCACGCGGCTGCTCCGCTTCCCGCCTTAGGCACCACGTCGAGCAGCAACACGATGGTGCCCGGAGCGGAGGGCCTGCAGGACACGAGAAGGACAAAGGTTCCCAAGGACCCGAGCTTCGAAGACAGGTGCGAGTCGTCGTCACGTGCGTGTCTGTGCAGTCGTCACGTGCGTGTCAGTGCAGTCGTCTGTGCAGTCGTCTGTGCAGTCGTCTGTGCAGTCTGTGCAGTTGTCTGTGCGGTCTGTACAGTCCGTGCAGTCTGAGGTTTGTGCAGTCTGTGCAGTCTGAGGTTTGTGCAGTCTGTGCAGTCTGTGTAGCAGTCTGCAGTCGTCTGTGCAGTCTGTACAGTCTGTGCAGTCTGTACAGTCGGTGCAGTCTGTGCAGTCTGTACAGTCTGTGCAGTCTGTGCAGTCTGAGGTTTGTGCGTTCTGTGCAGTCTGTGCAGTCATCAGTGCAGTCTGTGCAGTCGTCTGTGCAGTCTGTGCAGTCGTCTCTGCAGACTGTACAGTCTGTGCAGTCTGTGCAGCAGTCGTCTGTGCAGTCTGAGGTTTGTGCAGTCTGTACAGTCTGTGCAGTCTGAGGTTTGTGCGGTCTGTACAGTCGTCTGTACAGTCGTCTGTGCAGTCTGTCCTCCTGTCACGCGGCCGTAGCTCCTTGCGTTTACGAAGAACGCCGCGTGACGGGGCAAAACATCTCGTTGTGGTGATGAGCCATGTGTAACGTGGGGGGTGTAAAGCGCGGTCCGCTAGGACGTGCGGTCCGCGCAACGCACGACGGACAAAGGCCGAGGCGCGCGTGGGTAGCGTTCCTAGAAGCATCCAGCAGCATCCCGACGCCTTGTGTGGCGATGGTGCTACTCGGAGGCGGGCGTACGACCGCTTATTCCTACTCGCGCTGTGACGTAGTTCCGTCTGCTCGATCGCTTTGTGTCCAATTCGCATTCCGCGTTGTAAAAAGATGTGTTCCCTGTAATACATTGATCATCGCTTTATAGCCAATTCGCATTCGCCGTTATATAACAAGAATGTGTTCCCTGTAATACATCATAGTCTATGGGCAATGTAAGTCTATGGGCAATGTAAGTCTATGGGCAATGTTAGTCTATGGGCAATGTTAGTCTAAAGCAATGCAAGTCGAAATGCAATGTAAGTCTATGGGCAATGTTTAGTCTATGGGCAATGTAAGTCTATGGACAATGTTTAGTCTATGGGAAATGTTAGTCTATAGACAATGTAAGTCTATGGACAATGTTAGTCTATGGGCAATGTTTAGTCTAAAGCAATGCAAGTCGAAATGCAATGTAAGTCTATGGGCAATGTTAGTCTATGGGCAATGTAAGTCTATGGGCAATGTAAGTCTTATGTGAATGTAAGTCTATGTGAAATGTAAGTCTATGGGCAATGTAAGTCTATGGGCAATGTAAGTCTATGGGCAATGTTAGTCTATGGGCAATGTTATTCTATGGGCAATGTTAGTCTATGGGCAATGTAAGTCTATGGGCAATGTAAGTCTATGGGCAATGTTAGTCTATGGGCAATGTTAGTCTATGGGCAATGTAAGTCTATGGGCAATGTTAGTCTATGGGCAATGTTAGTCTATGGGCAATGTAAGTCTATGGGCAATGTTAGTCTATGGGCAATGTTAGTCTATGGGAAATGTAAGTCTATGGGCAATGTTAGTCTATGGGCAATGTTAGTCTATGGACAATGTTAGTCTATGGGCAATGTTAGTGTATGGGCAATGTTAGTCTATGTACAATGTTAGTCTATGGGCAATGTTCGTCTATGGGCAATGTAAGTCTATGGGCAATGTTAGTCTATGGGCAATGTTAGTCTATGGGCAATGTTATTCTCCGATGACCACGGTTGGCTACGTACGGGGCGAAAGACGTACGCACGCATATCTTCCGTGGGCAGCGTAAGCCGACGGCGGCAACTGCACTCGCGCGTCAAACGTATGCGCACCCGGGCCTGCGACGTCCCCAGCGCGAGTCGCGATCGAGGCCGTAGATAGACGCACCGCCTCTCGGCATGAACGGCGTGGCGCCTGGCGACGGTGAGACGGGGTGGGTTGGGGGGGGTGACCGCAGCTGTCCCTCTCTCTCTCTCTCGGTCTCGGTCCGGCTCGCGTTACGTTGACGTTGCCCCCGCTGCGCTGTCGTTCCCCAGCTACCTGGGAGGGGATCTGTACTCGGGCCTGGCCCGCCACCATCACCCGCGCCTCGAGTCCCGCTACAGCAACAGCTCCGGAGGCTCCTACGACGAGGAGAAAGGTGAGAGGGCAAAAGAGATTCCCCCCCCCCCCCCCCCCCCCGACGCCCATGGCCCCCGTGTGGTTGTTGGTGTCGTCTTTCCCCCCCCTAGCCTGGGGTTGCTCCTCTCTCTACGAGAGCGTCGTCGTCGTCGTCATTATTGAGACATCGAGTGCGATACGAAGCGGAGGAGTTAGACATCGAGTCGGACGGGAGGAGGATGAGCGAGACATCGAGGAGGGAGGGGAAGGGTGAAATATGATTGAACAGCGATGGGAAACTGCCATCGCGATGATCGTCTTATTGTGAAAACTGCCCTCCCCCCGTATCGCACCGCCAAAACGAGCACCTGCGGTGGATGGGAAATGTTAACTACCTCGCCTGGTATGCAGGAGCTCGTGTGGGTTCGATCTCGGCCATGACGCCCGTTGTATATTTGGCGTTTGCGTGTTCTCCCCGTGGTCGCCGCCTTTGTCTCCCCAGCCTCTGATGTTCACGCACCGCAGCAGGTACTAGTTTTAAGGTCAAGTCGACCTAGGCGAGGCCTAGGACTGGTTCAAATATTCGTCACCAACGCTCATGGCGGTGGCCGGGAGTCGAACTCGGCTGTTCCCCGATTCCGGGGGCCGTCCGTGGCTCGCCGCTCACGCCGCGTTGAAATTCACAATCGCCCACGCCCTCGGTGACCCTCCGCGACCTCCGCGACCTCTGCTCCGACGTCGTAGCGTTGGTCGGGGGGGAGCGAGCTCGGAAGCTCGACCCCGATACGCCGACGACCGAGGGGTGGGTTGGTGGGGGAGCGGTGGGGGAGGTGGGGGGGGGGGGGGCGGGGGGGCTGGGGTGGGGGCTAGCTTGATAGACTCGGCTCATTATCGCGGGGGCAGTTATTGACCGCGTCCAAACCGCCATCGATTCGCGAGCGGCTGATCCCACCGCCCCCGCATCGTCGCCCACACGCTCGGCCACCCTCCACCCCAGCCCCTACACCCAACCCCCCCCCCCCCCACACCCTCCTCGGGGGTCACGGCACCGCCGTCGTCGGCCGTGACGGGCGGCACGACCCGCGCTCGTCAATACCCGCGGGGCGTCGTCGTCATCGCTGTCATCGCCGCCGTCGCCGGCGGTAACCGTCGATATTTATTTTCGGCGTTTGTCTACGACGTGGCCTGTCGCTTTCTTTCACCCCGCCCACCCACCCCCGCCAACATTTATCACCGGATTTGCGCCGCGTTCGGCGTGAGGTCGCGGCGAGAGACGAAGCGGCGGGTTGGGCAATCCGAGCGGGGCAGCCGAGACCCGCGGTTGTTTGTAATGGAACGGCTTCGCGGAAGCGGATATCGTAGAGCTACCTCGGACGTCCCCTCCTGCTTCTTCTTCTTCTTCTTCAAGTGACACTCCGGTGCACTCACGCAGTAGGGGGCAACACTTCCCCACCCGTGATGTTCAGAGCTGGAATTTAGCCTAGTGAGGTATAGGCTCAGATTTGGTGTGGCTGGTGTGTGTGTGTGTGACTTGTTGTGTGTGTGGGTGTGGTGTGTGTTTGTGGCTAACGAGTGACTGTGTGTGTGCGTGTGTGACTTGTTGTGTGTGTGGGTGTGGTGTGTGTTTGTGGCTAACGAGTGACTGTGTGTGTGTGTGTGACTTGTTGTGTGTGTGGTGTGTGTTTGTGGCTAACGAGTGACTGTGTGTGTGACTTGTTGTGTGTGTGGGTGTGGTGTGTGTGGGTGTGGTGTGTGTTTGTGGCTAACGAGTGACTGTGTGTGTGCGTGTGTGACTTGTTGTGTGTGTGGGTGTGGTGTGTGTTTGTGGCTAACGAGTGACTGTGTGTGTGCGTGTGTGACTTGTTGTGTGTGTGTGGGTGTGGTGTGTGTTTGTGGCTAACGAGTGACTGTGTGTGTGTGCGTGTGACTTGTTGTGTGTGTGGGTGTGGTGTGTGTTTGTGGCTAACGAGTGACTGTGTGTGCGTGTGTGACTTGTTGTGTGTGTGGGTGTGGTGTGTGTTTGTGGCTAACGAGTGACTGTGTGTGCGTGTGTGACTTGTTGTGTGTGTGGGTGTGGTGTGTGTGGGTGTGGTGTGTGTTTGTGGCTAACGAGTGACTGTGTGTGTGCGTGTGTGACTTGTTGTGTGTGTGGGTGTGGTGTTTGTGGGTGTGGTGTGTGTTTGTGGCTAACGAGTGACTGTGTGTGTGTGACTTTTTGTGGGGATCGATAGTGTAGCGGTTAGCACGCTGCGCTATGAACCCGGCGACACGGGTTCAATTCTCGCTCACGGCAAACACCAGTGACGATTATCTTAACCGGTCCCGGGCCTCCCCTAGGTCGACTCAGCCTCAAATGAGTACCTGGTGCAGTGTGTAAACATTGCCACTAGGGAGACAAAGGCGGTCGGGCGTGGTGCTGGCCACCCACCCCTTCGTGTACCATTACAGGCCTTCATAGGTGCTCGCTAACAGCACTTGCCCCTACAGTCTGTTAAGGCTATATGGGGGATCTTTGTCTTTGACTTTTTGTGTGTGTGGGTGTGGCTGGTGTGTGTCTGACGTGCGACTGGTGTGTGTGTGGCTAACGAGTGACTGTGTGTGTGTGTGACTTTGTGTGTGTGTGGGTGTGGCTGGTGTGTGTCTGGCGTGCGACTGGTGTGTGTGTGGCTAACGAGTGACTGTGTGTGTGTGACTTTTTGTGTGTGTGGGTGTGGCTGGGGTGTGTATGGCGTGCGACTGGTGTGTGTTTGTAGCTAACGAGTGACTGTGTGTGTGTGTGTGACTTTTTGTGTGTGTGGGTGTGGCTGGTGTGTGTCTGGCAAGCGACTGGTGTATGTTTGTAGCTAATGAGTGGCTGGTCTGTGAATGTGGCTGGTATGTGTGTGTGTGTGTGTTTTGTGACTGGTGTGTGTGTGGTGTGTGTGTGTGGTTTGTGACTGGTGTGTGTGTGGTGTGGTGTGTGTGTTTTGTGACTGGTGTGTGTGTGGTGTGTGTGTGTGGTTTGTGACTGGTGTGTGTGTGTGGTGTGTGTCTGCGGCTAACGTGTGACCTGGTGTGCACATGGGGAGCGACAGTGCAACGGTTGGTGGGCCTCCCCGAGGTCGACTCGACCTCAAATGAGTACCTGGTGCGCGATATGTAAATAACACCGCTGGGGAGACAAAGGTGGCCGGGCGCGCGTGGTTGCTGCCCTACCCCGCCCTCTCCGTGCGCCGTTCCGACACTCCATAGGCGCTGCTACTCGCTCACAGCACTTGCCCCAACAGTCTGTTTCAGGCTATACGGGGTGGGCGGGGTGGGATCTTTGTCTTCGGTGTGCAGGTGACCTCCTGCCGGCGCACGTCTGCTGGCGCATCAAGGTGCTGGAGGCGCAGCAGCCCGAGCCTCTGCCGATGCCGGCCAACGGCGGCTGCTGGGCGCCGCTCGTCGACTTCCTCCCCGAGATGGTGTCGCCAGGAACCCCTCTGCACCGGTGAGCGAGGTTGGCCGAGCGTTTGCCGGAGGGCTTACCGCTCCGTGCGGATTTTCGTCAAACGCACGAACCCCCCGCGACCCCCCGCGACCCCCCGCGACCCCCCGCGACCCCCCGCGACCTCGCGTCACCCGTGGTGGCTACGCTGCGGCGACGAAGGTCCGGTGGGTGATAACAGCGCCAGGCGTTGCGTGAAACTGCGCCACCTCCTCCGAGTGGCGAGGTTGACCACGTACGGTGCGAAAGAAGTTCGACATACGTACGTACACAACTCTCTTTCCCCGTGGGAACGTCGAGGAGGAGGATCCGTACCCCCTGGCTCGTCAGGAGCGTGCGGTATTGCGATACGCGTGCTCCACTGGTTCCATCTGTACGGGATAGAGTGTTTCCCCCCTCACGTGAATGGGTTTTCATTCGTTATTCAATCTGTAACATGTACAGAATTGACTAACATTGCACGTAGACTAACACTGCCCATAGACTGGCATTGCCCACAGACTAATACTGCCCATAGACTGGCATTGCCCAAGACTAACACTGCCCACTGACTAGTTTAGTTTTTTAGTTTAGTTTATTTATTTTGGTATAGCCCTGTGAGCCATTCGGCTCTTGAATCGGGTGCAACCACAACAAACAAAAAAACAAAAACACGAACAAGAAAAAACATCTTAAAGTGACTGTGCAAACAGAAAATCCATGAAAAAAACAGCAAAATATTCCTGAAAAAAGCACCGTACACCAACGCTGTGTGCAAAAAATCCCAGTGGGATGCAAGTCAAACAACAACAACCACAAGAAAACTTAGATTAAGGCCATCAGTCTATCTCCGTACTACAACAAAACAAATATGTCCAAACCAAAAAAACGTTTTCGAAATCACCAAAAAATAAAGCCATAATTGCAACGTAACATTTCACGTAGACTAACACTGCCCACAGACTGGCGTTGCCTACAGACTAACACTGCCCATAGACTGTCATTGCCCAAGACTAACACTGCCCACTGACTAACATTGACATGACTAACAGTGCCCATAGACCACCATTGCCTACAGACTAACACTGCCCATAGACTAACACTGCCCAAGATTAACACCGCCCACTGACTAACATTGACACGACTAACACTACCCACTGACTAACATTGCACGTAGACTAACACTGCCCACAGACTGGCATTGTCTACAGACTAACACTGCCCACAGACTGGCATTGCCCACAGACTAACACTGTCCACTGACTAACATTGCAAGTCGACTAACACGAAAGGATATTCAGAGGCGTGGGCTCTCCGGTTTCCTCCCACGTGTAAAACACGCGTGTGAACGTATGTCTGTGTGTGTGTGTGTACACATGTGTATTTGTGTGTACACGTGTCTGTGTGTGAACACGAGTCTGTGTGGACACTTTTCTGTGTGTGTGTGTGCGCGTGTATTTCTGTGCGTGTGTGTGTGTACACATGGCGGTCCCGATAACCTCTGTCTGCTCCGCGCCAGGTGTAACGTGGCCGTGATGCTGATGAGCGACTTGGTGGTGGACCACAGCATGGAGGTAGACTGGATGACCTACCTGCCTCTGCTTCTGCACGCGCTGATCCTGGGTGAGTGAGATAGACAGCAACCTCTTCGTGCTGCAGCCAAGACCTCTATAAAAACTAAAAACTAAACACATTTTTTTTTTATTTTACAAGGTAAGGCACCACTGAGACACTGTGTAGCTCTTTTTCAGAAGCGACCTGACCACCACAAATGATAGCTCAACCAAACGGCCAAATACTCTGAACGCGTGGTGACGTTGATTCTGAATGTGGAGGGGGGAAACCGGAGGACCCGGAGGAAAATCCACACGACCACACGGAAAGAACCTGGAAATCTCCACCTATCATGTGGGGGCGGTAGTGGAGCGGTCAGCGCACTGGACGAAAAAATCCAGCGACCCGAGGTCGATTCCCGCCCGCGACCAATCATAGTGGCAAATATATGAGCCGGTCCTGGGCCTCGCGCAAACCCCAAATACACAGCAGGCGTCAGGGTCGGGATGGAACCCACGACCTCCTGTAGACCAGGCGAGGTAGTTAACATCTCACCACAGAGAGAGAGAGACACGCAAACTCCAAATATACAGCAGGCATCAGGGTCGGGATGGAATCCACGACCTCCTGTAGACCAGGCGAGGTAGTTAACATCTCACCATGGAGAGAGGGAGACACGCAAACCCCAAATACACAGCAGGCATCAGGGTCGGGATGGAACCCACGACCTCCTGTATACCAGGCGAGGTAGTTAACATCTCACCACAGAGAGAGGGAGACACGCAAACCCCAAATACACAGCAGGCATCAGGGTCGGGATGGAACCCACGACCTCCTGTATACCAGGCGAGGTAGTTAACATCTCACCACAGAGAGAGGGAGACACGCAAACTCCAAATATACAGCAGGTATCGTTAGGGTCGGGATCGAACCCACGACCTCCTGTATACCAGGCGAGGTAGTTAACATCTCACCATGGAGAGAGGGAGACACGCAAACCCCAAATACACAGCAGGCATCAGGGTCGGGATGGAACCCACGACCTCCTGTATACCAAGCGAGGTAGTTAACATCTCACCACAGAGAGAGAGACACGCAAACTCCAAATATACAGCAGGTATCGTCAGGGTCGGGATCGAACCCACGACCTCCTGTAGACCAGGCGATGTAGTCAACATCTCACCACGGAGAGAGAGACACGCAAACTCCAAATATACGGCAGGCATCAGGGTCGGGATCGAACCCACGACCTCCTGTATACCAGGCGAGGTAGTTAACATCTCCTAGCCACCGTGGTGCCCACCTCGCCACGACACGCTGCTGCACATCCCGCTGCACATGCTGCTGCTATTGATGATGATGATGATACCGATGATCTCACTGCGCACACACACACACACACACTGACACGGTGCATAGGCATGGACCACTACCGCGCGGAGGTGTACCAGCACTGCAAGCGGCTGCTGCTGCACCTGCTGCTGGTGCTCGCGTGCAGCAGCAGCTGCCCGGCCATCGCGGCCGTGCTGCTGCAGAACGGCGAGCAGCAGGAGGGCCGGGCCCTTGGGGGGCGGCCCTGCCCCCCCAGGGCCCACGCCAGCCCCTCGGGTAAGGAGCCGTTGTCGTGGTGATCGTCGTCATTGTCGTGATTGTCATCATCGTTGTCGTCGTCATCATCGTGATCATCGTCGTGATTGTCATCACCATTGTCGTCGTCGTGGTGATCATCATCGTGATCCTCATCATCGTTGTCGTCATTGTGATCATCGTTGTGATCATCGTCGTCATCGTCGTGATCATCGTTGTGATCGTCGTCATCATCTTCGCCGTCGGCGTGATCGTCATCGTCGTCGTAATCAGCGTCATCGTTATTAGATTCCTCGGTTGCGATTACTCTCGGCAACACCATAATTTCCCCCCCCTCACCTATTGACCAGATGCAGTCACCTTGTGCCGTATGGGGACAGCTGCCACTGGGGATGCCCCTTGGCTACACCAAATAGCATCCCCCTGTGTCTCCTGTCTCCCCGTATAGCCCGTGTCCCCACGTCCACCCCCCTATCACCACTTATCCCCATATCTACCATGTCTCCCCCCGTGGGTCACCATCTCTCCCTGTGTCAACCGTGTGACCCCCGTTTGTCCCCTCGTGTACCCCCCCCTCCCCGTGTCCCTCGTGTGTCCCCATCTCCCCCCGTGTGTCCCCCGCTCCCCCCCCCCCCCACCACCTCGTCCCCCGCTAGGCGTGAGCACCTTCTCCGAGCTCCGCCGCTCGCTCGCCACCGACTCCAGCCTCAGCTGCAGCTCCACGCAGTCGAGCCTGACAGCCAGCGCGGCCAACCTGCCGCTGCTGTCCGCGCCGGGCCTCGCCGACGACGCGGCCGATCCGGACGGCAAGGCCCGGGCCCTCATCGAGTTCATCGCGGCCAGGTTCGGCGCTCGGCCGCAAATGAACCATCGCCACGCGAAGCCCGGCCGTCATCCTCGCGCCGGCGGCGGCGGCGGGTTTTGGCTCGGCCGTCGGACAGATGCTCCGAGCGCGAGCCAGAGTCTCGGTGTGAGAGCCGGGGGCACGGTGTGAGAGCCAGGGGCACGGTGTGAGAGCCAGGGGCACGGTGTGAGAGACCCGGGGGCACGGTGTGAGAGCCAGAGGCACGGTGTGAGAGTCAGGGGCACGGTGTGAGAGCCAGAGGCACGGTGTGAGAGCCAGGGGCACAGTGTGAGAGACCCGGGGGCACGGTGTGAGAGCCGGGGGCACGGTGTGAGAGTCGGGGGCACGGTGTGAGAGTCAGGGGCACGGTGTGAGAGCCGGGGGCACGGTGTGAGAGTCAGGGGCACGGTGTGAGAGCCGGGGGCACGGTGTGAGAGACCCGGGGGCACGGTGTGAGAGTCAGGGGCATGGTGTGAGAGTCAGGGGCACGGTGTGAGAGTCAGGGGCACGGTGTGAGAGACCCGGGGGCACGGTGTGAGAGTCAGGGGCATGGTGTGAGAGTCAGGGGCACGGTGTGAGAGCCAGAGTCTCGGTGTGAGAGTCGGGGGCACGGTGTGAGAGCCAGGGGCATGGTGTGAGAGTCATCGTCGCGCGCCGCTTTCGGATGCGCTGCTTCCGCGGCCGTCCGGAACGCGCGGGTGCAGGGGTGTGTGTAGGGGGTGCGGACGGAGATGGGTGGCATGTAAGCAGCGCGTTGGCCGTCCGGAACGCGCTGTTCCTGCCGATGTTGGGGAAGCCCCACTGGCGAGCTATGGCGCTCTTGAAATCATCGTCGTCTAGATCGACAAACTCTTTTTCTTTTAGAACTGCTTGTCGCCGCGTTTAGTTTGTTGCCTTTACCCATTTTGTGTATTGTTGGGCGGGGGGTGCGGGGGGCGGGGGGGGGGGGTGGGATGGGGGGGGGGGTAGGAGGGGGGCCGGGGGGGGGGCGCACGTCAGGCGTCGCCAGTGGCCCCACGCGGGCCTTGGCAATGCAAGACACTTGCCCCCCCCCCCTCCTCTCTACTTTGTCGGCGTTGCGTCAGGAGGAGCGGGCCGCTGTGGTGCCACGAGGAGATCGCCCCACGCAGCCACGCCATCCGCAGCACGGAGGAGCTCAGCGGCTTCGTGGACCACGTGCTCGCCGCATTCTGCGCCGCGCAGCCCGGTGGGAGACTCTGACTCTCGCTCTCATGCTGAGACTCTGACTCGCGCTCGGAGCCTCTGACTCTCATGCTCACACCGTGCCTCTGGCTCTCTCTCTCACACGCTGAGACTCTGACTCTCTCGCTGTCACACCGTGCCTCTGGCTCTCTCTCTCTCACCCTCACACCGTGCCTCTGGCTCTCTCTCTCGCTCTCACACCGTGCCTCTGGCTCCCTCACCCTCACACCGTGCCCTCTGGCTCTCTCTCCCTCACACCGAGCCTCTGGCTCTTTCTCGCTCTCACGCTGAGACTCTGACTCTCTCTCTCTCTCGCTCTCACACCGTGCCTCTGGCTCTCTCTCTCTCGCTCTCCCTCACGCCGTGCCTCTGGCTCTCTCTCTCCCTCACACCGTGCCTCTGGCTCTCTCTCTCTCTCTCACGCCGTGACTCTGGCTCTCTCTCGCTCTCACTCTCACGCTGAGACTCTGACTCGCGCTCGGAGCCTCTGACTCTCACCCTCACGCTGAGACTCTGGCTCCCTCTCTCTCGCTCTCACGCCGTGCCTCTGGCTCTCTCTCACACTGTGCCTCTGACTCGCGCTCAGAGCCTCTGACTCTCACCCTCACACCGTGCCTCTGGCTCTCTCTCTCTCGCTCTCACGCTGAGACTCTGACTCTCTCTTTCTCTCTCACGCCGTGACTCTGGCTCTCTCTCTCTCACGCCGTGACTCTGGCTCTCTCTCTCTCGCCCTCACGCCGTGCCTCTGGCTCTCTCCCTCACGCCGTGACTCTGGCTCTCTCTCGCTCTCATGCTGAGACTCTGACTCGCGCTCGGAGCCTCTGACTCGCACCCTCACACTGTGCCAATGGCTCTCTCTCTCCCTCGCGCTCACGCTGAGACTCTGGCTCACGCTCGGAGCCTCTGACTCTCACCCTCACACCGTGCCCTCTGGCTCTCTCTCTCGCCCTCACACTGTGCCTCTCTCTCTCTCGCTCTCACGCTGAGACTCTGACTCGCGCTTTGAGCCTCTGACTCTCACCCTCACACCGTGCCCTCTGGCTCTCACACTTCCTGTGGTCGATCTTGGAGGAGGCGGTTCGTGAAAGACGCTCCTGGGCAGTGGGAGACAATCGCCCCTCACCATCAACAGAGGGCGGAGGCGCGATGCTCACAACAATAATATAAGACAAAGATCCCCCGTATAGCCTTAAGCTCTTGGCTCATGAGCTGTGAGCAAGCAGCACCTATGAAGGCCGGCATGGCACACGAGGGGGTGGGTGGCCAGCACCACGCTCAGCCACCTTTGACTCCCGATGTTTGCACGCCGCACCGGGTACTCATTTGAGACCGAGTCGACCTAGGGGGGAGGCCCATGACCGTTTCAGATAATCGTCACCGGTGTTGAAATCGAACTTGGGCCGCCGGGTTCGTAGTGCAGCGCGCTAACCCTCACACTACCACTCCTCACGTACACACACAGAGACGGACACCCAGGCCCTCGCCACCCACTCAGATGCGCTTCTGCGGCCGTCTGGAAACGCTCTTCCTTCCGATATTAGGAACCCACTGGAGCTATGCACTTTAAAATCATCTGAATTGAAAATCCAATTCTGTGGAAGCGCTTTTTGTGTTCAGTTTGTTGTCCTTCCCCCAGCCATCCCAGGAACAGAGCCGAAGATCTTCGGGACCTCTTAATGGCGGTCTCAACACATCCCACGATTGACCCCGCGACCTTCCGCCCCCCGCCCCCTGCCTCCCCCTGCCCCCCATCCGCAGGCTGCCGGCTGGAGCAGCAGCTGAGCGAGGTGGCGCTCCACACGGCGCTGTCGTGCTCGTCGCGCCACTACGCGGGACGCTCGTTCCAGGTGTTCCGCGCGCTGCGTCAGCCGCTCAGCGCTGGCGCGCTCTCCGACATCCTGACGCGGCTCGTGGAGACGGTCGGCGACCCCGGCGAGGAGACGCAGGTTAGGGGCGGCGACGGCGACGGTGGCGATGGCGCCGACGGCGATGGTGACGACTACGGCGACGATGATGACGATGATGACGGCGATGGTGACGACTACGGCGACGATGATGACGATGATGATGGCGACGGTGACGATGATGACGACGATGATGATGGCGACGGTGACGATGATGGTGGCGGCGGCGACGGCAACGACGCTGACGACGGTGATGACGGCGACGACGATGATGGCGACGATGGTGGCGACGATGATGGTGACGACTATGGCGACGACGACGACGATGACGGCGATGGTGACGACTACGGCGACGATGATGACGATGATGACGACGATGATGACGATGATGATGATGGCGACGGTGACGACGATGATGGTGGCGGCGGCGACGGCAACGACGCTGACGACGGTGATGACGGCGACGACGATGATGGCGACGATGATGGCGACGATGATGGCGACGATGATGGCGACGATGATCGCGACGGTGGTGATGACGGTGATGGTGACAATGATGGTGGCGGCGGCGACGGCAACGACGCTGACGACAGTGATGACGGCGACGACGATGATGGCGACGATGATGGCGACGATGATGGCGACGATGATGGCGACGGTGGTGATGACGGTGATGGTGACAATGATGGCAACGATGATGGCGACGATGATGGCGACGATGATGGCGACGATGATGGCGACGATGATGGCGACGATGATGGCGACGATGGTGATGACGGTGATGACGACGATGCCGGCAACGATGACGGCAACGATGACCCTTGCCGCCGTCGCCGGGGGTTACGTTCTTGAAAGTCGCCGCGGTCGGCAAAATCCGCAAATCCACAAACTTTTAAAACCGTCACCGCGTGAACTCCGCTCGTCATCCTCGCTCGCAGCAGCAGTAGCAGCGGTTTTTAGACTCAGCCCATCGAACACAGACGGTGGTCACCGCATCATCGCGCGGCGCTTCCAGATGCGCTGCTTCAGCGGCCGTCTGGAACGCGCCCTTCTTTCCGATATTTGGAAGCCCACTGGGCGAGCTGTGCGCTTTTACATCATCTAGATTGACAAACTCGTTTCTTTATCACTGCATCTTTGTGTTTAATTTGTCGTCCTTTTTCGCCGCACCCCCGATGTGGCACGGTTAGCTACCTACGGCGCGAAAGAAGTTCAGCGCACGCACACACATACTAGGGAGACAAAGGCGGCCGGGCGTGGTTTGTTACCACCCGTCCTGCTCGTGCGCCGCGCCGCGCCGTGCCGTGCCGTGCCGTGCCGGCCTTCGTTAGGTGGTGCTACACGCCAACGGCACTTGCCCCGATGGTCCGTTGCAGGCTACACAGGATCACTTTGTCTTTGGTTTGGCTGTGTCCTTGCGCAGGGCTACGTGATGGAGATGATGCTGACGTTGGAGTCGGCCATCCACACCATCGTGGAGGCTTCCAAGCAGGGAGAGCTGCTCACCTCCTTGTCCAGGTAGCGCGGGCGTCATCCCTCCGCGGGTTTCGCTGCACAAGCGTGAGAGTCGCTCCACTCTGGACGCGATGCATTCACACGGCTATAGAGTCTGTGCATTCACTCCACAGGTGTCATCACAGCTAGCGTGAGAGTCGCTCCACTCTGGACGCGATGCATTCACACGGCTATAGAGTCTGTGCATTCACTCCACAGGTGTCATCACAGCTAGCGTGAGAGTCGCTCCACTCTGGACGCGATGCATTCACACGGCTATAGAGTCTGTGCATTCACTCCACAGGTGTCATCACAGCTAGCGTGAGAGTCGCTCCACTCTGGACGCGATGCATTCACACGGCTATAGAGTCTGTACATTCACTCCACAGGTGTCATCACAGCTAGCGTGAGAGTCGCTCCACTCTGGACGCGATGCATTCACACGGCTATAGAGTCTGTGCATTCAGTCCACAGGTGTCATCACAGCTAGAGTCACTGCAATCTAGAGATTCGCCCTCTCTCTCACTCTCTGTCTCCCGCTCTTTCTCTCCCTCTTCCTCTCTCCATCTCTCTCACGCTCTTTCTCGCTCTCCCTTTCTCTCTCCCTCTCTCCCGCTCTCTCTTCCTCCATCTCTCTCTCTTTCTCCCGGTCTCTCTCCATCTCTCCCTCCCTCTCTCCTGCTCTCCCTCTCTCCCTCCCTCTCTCTCCCTCCCTCCCTCTCTCTCCCTCTCTCCCGCTCTCTCTTCCTCCATCTCTCTCTCTCTTTCTCCCGGTCTCTCTCCCTCTCTCCCTCCCACTCTCCCTCCCTCTCTCCCGCTCTCCTTCCCTCCATCTCCCTCTCTTTCTCCCACTCTCTCTCTCCTGTCGCAAACCTCCCCAGGTCCTCGTCTCCCGACCCGTCGCTCGTTCCTCCGCCCAACCTCGCCATCAGCCGCAAGAGCACAGGGCAGCTCAACCTCGGCGGCGTCGCCGGCGTTGGCGTCAACCACACCTCCCACCTATCCTTCCAGGCCTCCGGCCACCACCACCGTAGCAACTCCATGCCCAAGCGCTTCGGCCCGGCGGACCGGCTCCCTGAGCCGAGGCGGAGCGCCACGCTCGACCGCCTCGAAGCCAGGGGCGGCGGCGGCGGCGGCGCCGCAGGCTGCTATTCCCGTGGTCACCTGGGCACGATCGTTGCCGCTGGCCTCCACCTGGGCAAAGCCCACAGCCTGAGTTCGTTACGCGAGGGGCACGTTGACCTGGGACCGCAGCTGCAGCAGCATTATCATCAGCAGCAGCATTATCATCATCAGCAGCAGCAGCATCAGCACCATGCCTACCAGCCGAGCGTGCAGATTCAGTTCAACCAGCAGCACTATCATCATCAGCAGCAGCAGCAGCAGCAGCAGCCGACGGTGGTGACTGCAGCGGACTCGTCGGCGCTGCTCGTCACGTTGTTCTGGATCGGCGTGGCGCTCCTCGACTCGGACTACGACACGGAGTTCACGATGGCGCTCAGGTACGGGGCTCCAGCTCCTCCTCCTTCCCCGCTTCCTTCCCCCCGCAAAGCCGTCGATGCCATCGGCGGGAAGGAAGAGGAAAAAAAAACCGCGCAATTTGAATAATCGCAACGTTGTTTGCCGAACCGGTAACCGGTTACCGGTTTGCCGTGCTTCATAGAAATGCGATTCGTGGGGATGCCGGCTCGGCTGTGTCTGACATTGTGAACCCACTAAGAGAGAGAAGGAAGACACCCAGGGCTCGAACCCAGGTTCTCAGTCATTGGCTGAGTGTGACATGGCCATTATGAACCCCCCGTAGAGAGAGATTAAGAGACACCCAGACCCAGGGCTCGAACCCAGGTTCTCATAGTCACTGACTCAATGTGACATGGCCATTATGAACCCGTCAAGAGAGAGATTAAGAGACACCCAGACCCTGGGCTTGAACCCAGGTTCTCATAGTCACTGGCTGAGTATGACATGGCCATTATGAACCCCCCGTAGAGAGAGATTAAGAGACACCCAGACCCAGGGCTCGAACCCAGGTTCTCATAGTCACTGGCTGAGTATGACATGGCCATTATGAACCCCTCCAAGAGAGACCCCCAGACCCGGGATTCGAGACCCAGGTCGTCATCGGCGCTGAATCGGCGTCTCCGGGCTGTGAGCCAACGGGGCTGGCTCTCTGGCTGGCTCGGCGTCTGGTCGTGTGGCTCTGTGGGCTCGAGCCTTGGACAGTCGCGCCGTGTGCGTGTGTCTGTGGGGAGTGTTGGCGCACAGGTTAACGCGTTGCGCTACGAACCCGGCGACCCGGGGGTCGATTACTGCTCACGGCGAACACCGGTGACGATTTTCTGAACCGGTCCTGGGTCTCGCTTGGGTCGACTCGGCCTCAGTTCAGCACCTGGTGCGATGCGTAAAAAAACATCACCGCTAGGGAGACAAAGGCGGCCGGGTGTGGTGCTGGCCACCGACCCCCCTTCGTGAGCCGTGCCGGCCTTCAGAGGTGCTGCTCGCTAACAGCACTTGCCCCAACAGTTTGTGAAGGCTTAACGGCGGATCTGTCTTTGGGGAGCGGTGGTGAAGCGGTTAGCGCTGCGAACTCTGCCACCCGGGTTCGATTCCCGCTCACGGCCAACACCGGTAACGATTATCGGAACCGGTCCTGGGCCTCCCCTAGGTCGACTCAGCCTCACATGAGTACCTGGGGCGGTGCGTCGTAAATATCGCCACTGGGGAGACGAAGGTGGGCGAGAGTGGTGCTGGCCACCCACCCCCCCCCCACGTGCCGTTCCCACCTTCGTAGGTGCTCGCTAACAGCACTTGCCCCAACAGGCTGCACGGGTGGAGGGGGGGAGCGGTATCTTTGTCACGTGGGCTTTGTCCTTGTCCCGCTGCGCAGGCTGCTGGACAGGCTGCTGGGCCCACAGGGCCTGGAGCTGGGCGTGGAGGAGACGCGCGACCGCGTGCACAAGGCCATGTCCCAGCTCAGCTGGTCCAGCTTCCCCGGCATACAGCCCCTGCTGCTCAAAGGTGTGGCGCTTTGGCAGGCGGTCCTGGCGGTAACCCCACACTTTGCCCCCCGCCCAGCGCACGTGAGCTGACGTACGTACGTTGGGCTTCTTTCACGCCGCACGTAGCCTGGCCCGTGCTCATCGGAGGTGCGGAAGCTGACTGTTGTGGCGTGAGTTGTGGTGTGCATCCGCTGCTGGGTTGCGCACGGAGGCTGCGGTGAGTCTGTGGGTCTCTGTGGGTCTCTTTGTGATTCTGTGGTGGTGCCGGTGGTGGCGGCGGCGGCGGCGGCGGCGCTGCTGATGGTGCTGCTGATGGTGCTGGCTTTGATGGTGGCAGTGCTAACTTTGGTGGTGTTAGTGTGGGTGGTGGTGCTGCTGGTTGCTACTGCTGGTGGTGGTGGTGATGCTGGTGCTACTGATGGTAGTGGTACTGGTGGTGGTGGTGATGTTGGTGTTGCTGGTGGTTGTGCTGCTGCTGCTGCTGGCGCTGTAAACTTCATTGTCGTTTGCCGCCTGTAGGTTTCACCTCCGCCAGCACGCTGGACCTGACCGTGCAGCTGCTGGGAAAGCTGACCGCCGTATCGCGCACGGCCATTGTGGACCCGAGCCAAACCACCGGTACGGCCGTTCGTTCCATCCCCCCCCCCCCAGCCCCCCGCCAAGGCTGTGCCCCCCAGTGGAAGCTGTCCCCTGTGCATCACACGGTGACTCATCTCCTAGCCTGCGAGCGAGCACGAGTCTGGCAGTCGGGGCGATGATTTGCCCCTCTGTGGTCTGGCCTAGGGGCACACCCCCCCCCCCCCGTATCGCACCGCACCGCTCGACCACGTGGCTCAAGAAAGTAGTTCCTCGTCGACGGCTCAGAAACCGCGTTGTAACGGTGCACGCGTTCCGCGTCACAGCAGTTGCAATCGACGTTATAACGGCGGAGCGCTTTCCGGGTGACAGCGATCGCCGCGCGCGTCAAGCGAGGACTTGTTCCTTCCTCTCTAGCCATTCGTGAACATTTCCTTCAACCCGCATCGTTGCATTCGGAAGCCTTCAATGCAGCGGTGGATTTTCCGTCATCTTCAAGTGATATATATTTATGTATTCTTTTTTGTCACTGTCATTTTCAACGAGAGTGCTCAAATTAATCACCGCGCGTACGTACGCGCTAATCGTGAACGATGGCGCGTCCGCCAATCCTCCCGCCCGCCCGCCCGCCCGCCCACGCCAAATCCCATTTAATCAAAACGGCCTCGCGGTGATGAATCAGCCCGCGCGACGACGGGACCAGCGAATCAATTTGTGATTTCACTTTACGGGCGGCACCACGCCCCCTCTCCCCCCTCCCCCCCGACGAGTGGCCCCGGACCACGCCCCGGCTTCAGCCGATCGTCCGCCCGCTCCCCTGTGGGGAATGTTTATGCAACCGCACCGGGTGCTAAATTTTTAGACCGAGTCGACCTAGGGGGAGGCCGAGGATCGGTTCAGATGGCCGCCATCGGTGTTGGTGGACGTGAGCGGGAATCAAACTCGGGTGGCCGGGTTCGTAGCGCAGCGCGCTAACCACCCACACGCGCACAAACCCCCCCACGCACCAACCCACACACTAACCCCCCACGCACCAACTCACCCCAGCAACCACCCACGCATCAACCCACCCATGCACCAACCCACCCACGCACCCGCCCACGCACCAACCCACCCACCCCCGCATCCACCCACCCACACACCAACCCACCCACGCACCAACTCACCCCTGCACCCAACCAGACACCAACCCACGCACCAACCCACCCACCCACCCACCAAATTACCCTCTCGCTCAGCAACCCACCCATGCCCCCCCACCCACCAACTCACCCACTCAATCAGAAATCCACCCATGCAAAGACAAAGCTCCCCATATAGCCTTAACAGACTGTTGGAGCAAGTGTTAGCGAGCACCTACGAATGCTGGCACAGCACACGAGGGGGCATGGTGGCCAACACCACGCACCGGGCCGCCTTTGTCTCTCCACTGGCGATATTTACTACACACCGCACCAGCTACTCATTTGAGGCCGAGTCGACCTAGGGTAGGAGGCCCCAGGACCGGTTCAGACAATCGTCACCAACGTTGGTGGACTTGCACGGGAAACGTAACTCTGGTGGCTGGGTTCGCAGCGCGGCACGCTCACCACACACGCACGCACACGCACGCGCACGTGCACGCGGCAAGGGCAGGCTGCTGATTTCTGATGTCGTTAGCATTGATTGCATAGACAGCCGCGCGATGTTTGGCGAGTGCTCAATTTGATTAAGGACGCCGCTCGAGTCTCGACGGGGACCGCCCGTCCCGTCAGAATCAGAATTTTTAATTTTATCCCGGAGAAAATCCTGATGAGCCGTGAAGCTCTTGTTCGGCGGTGGTTAATCTACGCGGTAAGCCCCAAGCCAAGCCCTGCGGGTTACCGTTATTTGTTTACCCAGGAAAGCCTGCCTTGTTTTGTCAATCCCTCCGTCACCCGTCATGGCCCCAGAGGAATCGAGTTGTCGCGCGGTGAGCAAGCGTTGTGGGTCTCTCGCTCACCCACTCAGTCAACCACTCAGTCAACCACTCGCTCACCCACTCACTCGTCTACTCAACCCACTCATCTCCTCACCCCCTCACTCGCCTTCTCATCCACTCACTCGCCTACTTCACTCACCCACCCATCTACTCACCCACTCATCTACTTACCCACTCACTCACCCACTCGCTCACCCACTCACCTACTCGCTCAGCCACTCACCTACTTCACACATTCACTCACCTACTCATCCACTCACTCACCTACTCACCGACTCACTCACCTACTCACCCACTCACCTACTTCACTCACTCACCCACTCACCCACCCACTCACCCACCCACTCATTCACCCACTCACCTCCTCACCCACTCACTCACCCACTCACTCACCCACTCACTCACCCACTCACTCACCTTTGGTGAGTTAGAGAATGTGGGTGGCCAGCACCGCACCCGGCCGCCTTTGTCTCCCCAGTCGCGTCGCGATGTTTACACACCGCACCAGGTACTCATTTGAGGCTGAGCCTACCTCGGGGAGGAACAGATAATCGTCACCGGTGTTGGCCGTGGGCGGGAATTGAACCCGGGTTACCGAGTTTGGAGCACAGCGCGTTAACCGTTACAAACTGTTGGGCCAAGTGCTGTTAGCGAGCACCTATGACGGCCGGCGCGGCACACGAGGGTGATGGGTGGCCAGCACCACGCCCGGCCGCCTTTGTCTCCCCAGTGGCGATGTTTGGACAAATGACAGAGACACCTCACTCGCACACACTTACTCACACTCCGCAGGACAGGGGGAGAACATACCAACTCGGCACAGGAATCGAACTTGGCTTCCCCGGGCGGAGGGCGGATTTGGATCGATTGTCGCGACGTCGTTTTATCCGCACGTCGGCTTGAAGCATCGCCCATTCCCACGCAGCGGCATCCGTGCCTTTACGCTTCGCCGCAAATGCAATTTCCTTAAATGCAGTTTTCAATTCCATCTGCACAACGGCACGCACTTATCCACCTAATGTTGTTCATTTTTCAATATCAATATGGATTTAAAAAAAAAAAATTCTTAGCAATTCTCATTTTCGTTTTTTTTTTGCCGTTAATATTTCATAGAGCAGCCACCAGCACAATCAGAATATGTATTTGTACTGGATGAATCCGATGAGCTGTGAAGCTCTTCTTCACAGATGTCCCAGTAGGGGCACGGGGCAAGAACGTCACAACAACAAAACGGTACCAGAAAACACGATGGTCGTGCAAAGTGCAAGAAATGTAAACAACTCAGACACTTACAAATACAATACTAAACCATCCCCATCCTACCCAGGCAAAAGCCCCACCGAGGCGTTCATTCATTTTTCAGAGGCGACCTGGCCACAAATGACGACTCAACATAAGTGGCTCGTCACGTGGAAATGTACAGCGGCAAAAAATAATCCAAATGGTCTCAATGCGTGTCGAGTTTGTGGGCCCCCCCCCCCCCCCCCGCCGCACCTCCAATTAGCACGGTCGGCTACGTACGGTGCGAAAGAAGTTCAACATGCACTACTATACACTACACTACTATATACTATACGCTACTATACACTACACTATACACTACACTATACTGCATTGAAAACTATTTTATTTTAGAGCTGCTTGTCCTTCCCTCCCGCACCTCCGATATGCCCGTTCGGCTAGGTAAGGTGCGAAAGAAGTTCAGCACACACACATACACCCGCTCGCACAAACTCGGCCACTCGCCAACCCTTGCAAGCGGCACTCCATCCTGGTCCTCCGAGAGTTTTGAACTGTAATAATAGGGTTTTTCGCCTTTTTTCTGGCCAAAAAAACTGAAACCTTTTTACAAGGATTCATGTCTGCATTAACCACAATACCTGCAGTCAAAATGCAAACAAAAAACATTAAAGGCGTCATCTGGTCGAGCACCAATTGGTTCGAGGCTCAAAAGAAAGCCGTCCCTTGGTGTGGACCAATCAGTTTCAAGGACAATGCATATATTATCATAGTATGTTTTTTGTTTGCATTTTGACTGCAGCTATTGTGGTTAATGCAGACATGAATCCTTGTAAAGGTTTCAGTTTTGTTGCCATAAAAAAGGGGAAAAACCCTATTATTACATTTTGGTACTGGTAAAGGAGGTCTAATGAAGTTTTGAACCGGTTGAGCAAAATAACAATTTAACAAAATTTGAATAGGTTTATTTCCTTACTGCTGAGCAGCTCACCCCGAGCTACACATGCTCTGATATTGCGTTGCCTTTGTACCGTTCGCCTTTTGACGTTCTGTGATCTGACGCTGGTGGTGAGACTAGGCTATGAAGAAGGGTACTGTCTCTGGGGTAGGCCAATAAGTTTCAAAGACCACGCCTTATATTATCAGAGTTTGTGTTTGCATGTTCACCGCAAGTACCATGTCTGGTTAATGCAGACGTGATTACTTACAAAAGGGGGTATCTCTTCGGTGTTTGAACGTCTTAACACCGACTGTTTAATACTCTTCGGTTATTTCGGTAAAATAAACGTGAACTCGCCCGATACAAATACAACCGCCATTCGCCACTTAGTGACGGTGACGTCACCTGCGCCAGGCCAGGTGCACTTTGAGGCCACGTTAACTCATCCACCCGTCCACCCAATTGGCATGCAAGGCGGATCTATCAACAGCACAACTCGTAATCATGGTGAACTTTCGTCATCGTCATCATTGTAATCGCCGTTCTCCCCTCCGGTTTGTCCTGCAGGATTCCCCCTCAACGTGCTGTTCCTGCTCCCGTACCTCGTCCAGAACTTCGACAGCCCCACGGAGTTTTGCCGGGAATGCGCTGACAACATCTCCCAGGTGAGAGGGAAGGGGTGGGGTGGTTAAGGGATTCGCGTGGTTACAATCGGGTCACCGGGTGGGATTAAACCGGTACAAGCCGGTAGACTCGCATAGAGACACCCATAGACTCACATAGACACCCATAGACTCACATAGACACCCATAGACTCACAAATGTAAACGCTCACTAATTGGCCGATAACACCTTCCTATATAGAGGACCGCAGAACTTGGGCAATTGTTGGGGCTGTCTTTCTCTCTCGTCTGTGGTTGATCTTCACGCCTCGTCGTCCTCTCTGTATGAGAGCGGCGTCATCATCATCATCGTTATTATTGTATCCACGCTGGCAATGTTAACTACCTCGCCTGGTATACAGGAGGTCGTTGGTTCGATCCCGACCCTGACGCCTGCTGTATATTCGTAGTCTGCGTGTCTCTCTCTCTCATCATCATCACGGTGGCTAGGAGATGTTAACTACCTCGCTTGGTATGCAGGAGGTCGTGGGTTAATCCCGACCCTGACGCCTGCTGTATATTTGGAGTCTGCGTGTCTGTCTCTCTCATCATCATCACGGTGGCTAGGAGATGTTAACTACCTCGCCTGGTATACAGGAGGTCGTGAGTTCAATCCCGACCCTGACGCCTGCTGCTGTATATTTGGAGTCTGTGTATCTGTCTCTCTCTCTATCCCCGTTGTTTCGTGGAATTTTCTCCGGGTCCTCCGGTTTTTCCCTTAACATTTAGAGTCGGCATCACGCGATTAGAGTATTTGGCCGCTATACATTTCAACACGATGATGATGATAAGCCACTTCATTGTGCTGCTTTTATTTGTGATGGCCAGGTGATGGCTTCTAAAAAAATAGCTACACAGCTCAGTGGGGGCCTCCTTACCTGGTAAAGTATTTTATTTTGATTATTTCGTTTTAGTTTAGTAAAATTTTCATGGCCTCAGAGTTTTTAATTATTCTGAAGCGGCCGGTTGGCTCGGAGGTTCAAGAGACTCCGAGCCGGCACCATCCGAGACCCTGGGCTCGAGTCCGGGTCATAGCCGCCCGAGTTGTAAAAATAAAAATGGTTTACAAAACAGTGGTAGTTCGTCATTATTATTATTTATGAATCGTACGAGACGGTCTCGCCCCTTGTGCCCCCCCCCCCCACCACTACCCCCCACCACCCCCCACCAGGTGTGCCTGGAGGAGAAGACGATCAAGCTGGCGAACCTGGCACACGTCATGAGCCTCTACCGCAACGGCAGCTACACGCGCGACTCCGTCAACTGGGTGAACGTCGTGTGCCGCTACCTGCACGACTCCTTCTCCGGCTGCACCTTCGACCTCGTCTCCTACCTGGCGGAGGTGACGCGGGGAGAGGGTGGGGGGGCGGGGGGGGTGGCCGGGGAGGGGGGGGGGGGGGGGGGGTATCGCCCCCCCCCCCAACACCACCACCTCCCACTGCTCTGACCGCGCGAAAGAAGTTCGGGGTACCCATCAAAGTTTTTTTTGTGGGCTAGATCGCGTGAATGTTACTGTGTCGTTGACCCACCGCCGCCCGGACGCGGACAGTTTCATTAGTACGGGGGTTCGTCGCGTCAACAAAATGCGCCAGTTAGTTCCCACCGGTGTGTTGGAGAGTGAATCCACAGCATTTGCAATTTGAGTACCGTAACCTTTCGCTGGCAATTGTGTCCACTTTCATCGGGCTGTGGATTTGCTCTCCCCACACACACAGCCGGTGTGGCTCAACTGGTAAACAAATTGGCACGTTTTGTTCACGTGACGAAACTCCTTACCTGATTGGCCGTGAGTCGGTTGGTGGCGGGTTTAACGTTGATATGTTTACACGATCTAACTCCAAAAAAAAAACCTGTTATGGGTACGTCTCTTAAAGGCTCTAACGGAGGAGGAGGGGAGGAGATCTTTGTCTATTTTGCCAACACCACCGCCACCAGTTTGACCCGTAGTAGGCTTTGGCGACCAGGTTTTTTGGGTGAGATCGCGTTAATATAAACGTGTCGTTAAACCCGCCATCGCCCCGACACAGCCAATGAGTAAGGTTTGTCACGTAAACTAAACTTGCCTATTTGTTACTAGTACAGCACACGGGCTGTGTGTTGGAGAGTGAACCCACAACTACATTTACAATTCTAGTAGCCGAGACGTTTCACCGGTGTTTACAACAACCACAACCATCAGCATCATCAGCCGGACAGCCAGAGTTGTGGAGAAATCCTCCTACTGTTCTGATCTTAAATAGAGGTGGTAAATGTGATGTCGTTGCTTGTGAGCCAATTGGGTACATACGTACATACAATAATATGTGCCACACTCGCTAGGAACACTTGCCCCAACAAATATTTTAAAGGCTTGAACGGGGGGTGGGATCTTTGTCTGATTTTTTACGTGCGTCTCGGCTTCTGGACAAGGACCTGCTGCGCCTGCACCCCACACCACCACCATCACCACCTCTCTTTGTGCGAAAGAAGTTAAACGTACATGCATACATATGTAATGACGGCTTGACACACTTCCCTTGACACGTTCACTTGACATCAGGTGGAGATCCCACTGCAGCAGCCCTGAGTCTCTCATGCATCTCCCCCATACACCAACACGAGGCCACGCCCCCCTTCTCGATCATTCTCGCTGACTGGACGCTCCCTCTACCCTCAGACTCTACCGTCCTCTTCCGTCGCATGGCCACGCTCTCTTCTCAAACTTTCCCGTAGCCACCAATCCGTTCGCACTCAAAACTGATACCCCCGTCATTACCTCCCATGGCTACCAGTCCCTTCTCACTCACAGCTGACTCCCCCGTCATTACCTCCCGTGGCCACCAGTCCCTTCGCACTCACAACTGACTCCCCTGTCATTACCTCCCGTGGCCACCAGTCCCTTCGCACTCACAGCTGATACCCCCGTCATTACCTCCCATAGCCACCAGTCCCTTCACACTCACAACTGATACCCCTGTCATTACCTCCCGTGGCCACCAGTCCCTTCACACTCACAACTGATTCCCCTGTCATGACCTCCCGTGGCCACCAGTCCCTTCGCACTCACAACTGATACCCCTGTCACTACCTCCCGTGGCCACCAGTCCCTTCGCACTCACAACTGATACCCCTGTCACTACCTCCCGTGGCCACCAGTCCCTTCGCACTCACAACTGATACCCCTGTCACTACCTCCCGTGGCCACCAGTCCCTTCGCACTCACAACTGATACCCCTGTCACTACCTCCCGTGGCCACCAGTCCCTTCACACTCACAACTGATGCCCCTGTCATTGCCTCCCGTGGCCACCAGTCCCTTCACATTCACAACTGATTCCCCTGTCATTACCTCCCGTGGCTACCGGTCCCTTCGCACTCACAACTGACTCCCCTGTCATTACCTCCCGTGGCCACCAGTCCCTTCACACTCACAACTGATACCCCTGTCATTGCCTCCCGTGGCCACCAGTCCATTCACACTCACAACTGATGCCCCTGTCATTACCTCCCGTGGCCACCAGTCCCTTCACACTCACAACTGATGCCCCTGTCATTACCTCCCGTAGCCACCAGTCCCTTCACACTCACAACTGATGCCCCTGTCATTGCCTCCCATGGCCACCGGTCCCTTCACACTCACAACTGACTCCCCTGTCATTACCTCCCGTGGCCACTGGTCCCTTCGCACTCACAACCGATACCCCTGTGCATTATATCCCATGCCCACTTGTGCATTCGAGTACTGTAGGCTGACTCACCTGTCATTACCTCCCGTGGCCACTACTAGTCCCCTCACACCGCATGCAGGCTCTACTGTCAGTACACATACAATACGAACATGCAATCGTAAGGTGTTGCTCGTTTGCATCACTTTCCCCAACAAATCTGTTGAAAGGCCGTGACGGACGGAGGGGGATCTTTGTCTATCTTGCGTGCGTCTCAGCTTTTGGACAAGGGCCTGCCGAGCCTGCAGCCAACTCTGCTGCAGATCATCCACAGCCTGCTGAGCCACGTGGACCTCTCGGCCGTGCCCGGCAAGAAGTTCAATGTGGATGTCATCAAGATCATTGGCAAATACGTGCAGGTGAGGTCGCTAAAACTAAGAAAAAAATTGTTTATTTTGCCAGGTAAGGCGCACCGAGCTAGAAACGGTAGCTCAACGAAGTGGCTGATCATCGTGTGGAAATGTAATGCAGCCAAATAGTCTGGAACGCGTGATGCTGATTCTAAAATGTGGAGAGAAAAAAACGGAGGACCCGGAGAAGAATCGACGCTACCACGGGGAGAGAGACACGCAAACTCCAAATATACAGCAGGTGTCAGGGTCATGATCGAACCCACGACCTCCTGTGTACCTGGCGAGGTAGTTAACATCTCACCACGGAGAGAGAGACACCGCAAACTCCAAATATACAGCAGGTGCCAGGGTCGGGATCGAACCCACGACCTCCTGTGTACCAGGCGAGGTAGTTAACATCTCACCACAGAGAGAGAGACACGCAAATTCCAAATATACAGCAGGGGTCTGGATCGAACCCACACGACCTCCGGCAAGCCAGGTGAGGTAGTCAACATCTCCAAGCCACCGCGGTGCCGCGTTACTGGCGCGAAGGGTCCGGTCTGCTGCAATGTCAATATTGGCGGTGTGAGTTTCCCGTCGCTTTGTAATTATATTCCACCCTCCCTCCCCCAATGTCTCTCTCATCCTCCATATCGCACTCGATGTCTCACTCCTCCTCTCGTTCAATGTCTCACTCCATCATCATCATCATCATTGTCCCTCTATTCTGACGCTGTCTCTTCCCTCCCATCACTGCTACCTCTGACCACTCCTGCCCTCACCCCCCTCCCTCCTCCCCCACCCCCCACCCCACCGGCTCGCCACGGCAGAGCCCCCACTGGCGCGAGGCACTCAACATCCTCAAGCTGGTGGTGTCACGCTCGGCCAGCCTGGCCACTCCGCTGGAGGCGGTGTCGGCGCCGATGGCGGCGCGGGGGCCGCCCCTCCCCACCGAACTGGCGGCGGGGGCGATGCCGGCACCGGCCCTCCCGCCGGAGAGCGGCTCTCACAACAAGCTGTGGGGCTCCGCTTCCAAGGAGCTGCCGGGCAAAACGCTGGAGTTCAACTTCGACATCTCGGAGGTGAGCGGCGTTGCGAGTGAGCACGGGTCAGGGGTCAGTGGGCGGGGGCGAGTGGGGCTAGTGAGAGTCGCTCTCTAGCTCGCCCGCGGCGTACGAGAGCCGCGCACTGCCTCGTGGTATCGCCTTGCCGCTGTCGGTGACCCCCACTTGTAACGTCAAGCCCTCGCCCGCTCGCCCGCTGGCGCTGACAGACGCCGGTGATTGGCCGCAAGTCGACCGACCAGCAGGCGCGCCCCGGCGAGGAGAACAAGGGCAAGTGCGGGATCGCCGTGACGAGGAGCACCTCCTCCACCTCGTCGGGGTCCAACTCCACCGCCCTCGTCCACGTCAGCTGGAAACGACCCCAGCTCTCTCAGGTGACCTCCCCATCCCCACCCCCCATCACCCCTGCATCCCACCTCGCCGACGCACGTCGCCGGATTCGAACCGCGAACATCCGGCGAGGAGCGGCGAGCGCCGCTACTGCTGTGCCGTGTCACCACCCGTGTAAAAAAGTAAAAATAAAAATGTACCGGGGCGGCCCGCCGGTTTTGCCCTCATCGCCGTTGCCATGCACACGGCGCCGGCGAATCTCGCCGTGGCCTCCCCCCCCCCCCCCCTCTGACGGGATGCCGAAAACGTTGCGGTCGCTCTTCGCAGAGGCGGACGAGAGAAAAGCTCAGCAACGTGCTGTCGCTGTGCGGCCAGGAGGTGGGCTTGACCAAAAACCCTTCGGTAAGATACCACGTCACACTCCCTCACCCGCTCACCCACTCACCCACTCGCCCATCCACCCACTCACTCACCCACTCACCCACCCATTCACCCACCAACTTATCCGCTCACCCACGGATTTTACCCACGCACCCGCTCACCCACGCATCCACCCACTCATCCATCAATCCACTCACCCACCCACCCACTCACAAACTCACCCACCCAATCACCCACCCATTCACCCACCAGCTCACTCACAAACCCACCCACCCAATCCCCCACCCACCCACTAACTCACCCACCCACTCACCCACCCACCCAATCACCCACCCACCCAATCACCCACCCAATCACCCACTCATCCAATCACCCACCAACCCACTCACCCACCCACCCACTAACTCACCCACCCACACCCACCCACCAAATCACCCACCCACCCAATCACCCACCCACGCAATCACCCACCCACTCACCCACCCACCCAATCACCCACCAACCCACTCACCCCACCCACCCACTAACTCACCCACCCACACCCACCCACCCAATCACCCACCCACTCATCCACCCACCCAATCACCCACCAACCCACTCACCAACCCACCACCAAATCTCCCACCCACCCACTAACCCACCCACCCACCCACTCGCTCGCCCACTCACTCTCCTCTGCAGGTGATCTTCTCGTCGAGCGGGGATCTGGAGATGGCGGAGCACCAGGCCAACCTCGTGGCACCGGCCGAGGAGCCGATGTGCGACCCCGACCTCGAGGAGACGTTCAGCGAGCAGCATTTCGGCGTCTTCAAGGACTTTGACTTTCTCGACGTCGAGCTGGAGGAAGCGGAGGTGAGAGTTGGGGGGAAGGAAAGGAAGGAAGGAAGGAAGGAGGAAAAAAAAACCTCTCCCCATGAGCTGATTTCGTCGCTCCATCTCCACGGTGAACGTGGGGCGTTTCCCGGTCGCGTTCCGTCCCTTGAAGCGTAGCTTCTTCTTGCTGGCCCGTTATCCACGTTCGTTATTTGGGTCAGGCCACGCGGTCGTAGTTTTAATGGCATCGTCGTTTTAACCTTCGGCCGTCCGTTTAACAAGGTTGTCATGTTTGTCACTGCTGCCGCTGGGGGTGCCCCCCTAGGCTAGACCACACAGCAGCAACAACATCTCCACCCTACTGGCAGACTGACACACAGGGACAGCTGCCACTGGGGGTGCCCCCTAGGCTAGACCACACAGCAGCAACAACATCTCCACCCTACTGGCAGACTGACGCACAGGGACAGCTGCCACTGGGGGTGCCCCCCTAGGCTAGACCACACAGCAGCAACATCTCCACCCTACTGGCAGACTGACACACAGGGACAGCTGCCACTGGGGGTGCCCCTAGGCTAGACCACACAGCAGCAACATCGCCACCCTACTGGCAGACTGACACAGGGACAGCTGCCACTGGGGGTGCCCCTAGGCTAGACCACACAGCAGCAACATCACTACCCTACTGGCAGACTAACACACATGGACAGCTGCCACTGGGGGTGCCCCTAGGCTAGACCACACAGCAGCAACAACATCGCCACCCTACTGGCAGACTGACACACAGGGACAGCTGCCACTGGGGGTGCCCCTAGGCTAGAACACACAGCAGCAACATCGCCACCCTACTGGCAGACTGACACACAGGGACAGCTGCCACTGGGGGTGCCCCTAGGCTAGACCACACAGCAGCAACATCGCCACCCTACTGGCAGACTGACGCACAGGGACAGCTGCCACTGGGGGTGCCCCTAGGCTAGACCACACAGCAGCGGCAACATCGACCCCCTTCCCCACTATTGTGGGAAGCTATCGCAGCCCGTGTCTGTGAAACACAGAGGCGCCTTGCTCCTTTGTGATGCTCGCCCTGCGCTATAAGAACAATGGCGTGAATACCGGACGTACTAAGTTATAATGATGATTATTTACCCAGTGGTCCTAGTTTTCCGAACGGCTTGTCCTTGATGAATTGTGTTTTCCTTTGCTCTCTGGCCTCGCAGGAGCTCCTGGTAAGGGTGGCCTGTGCGCTCACACACACACACACGCACGCAGACATATACGCGCAGACACACATACACAGACACCAAAACAAAGACACACACACACATGCGTGTAATGCAGTGTGATGTCTCCCAAACATGCACGTGGCTCATCGCTTAGTACTTACGGACACGTGAATGTGCATGTGTGTGTGCCTGCGTGTCCTGCGTGTGCGTGTCTGTGCGTATGTGTCGTTTGCTGTGTGTGCGTACCTGTTTGTGTGTTCGTGCGTTCCTGTGCATGAGTGGAGTGGTGGCGCAGTGGTCAGCGCGCTGTGCTACAAAACCCGGCGACCCGAGTTCGATTCCCACTCACTGTCAATTACAGTGTTGAAATATTTAAATTGCTCCTGGGCCTTCCCTAGGTCGACTCAGCCTCAAATGAGTACCTGGTGGGGTTTTGTAAACATCGCCACTTGGAAGACAAAGGCGGCCGGGCGTGGTGCTGGCCACCCACCCCCTTGTGTGCCGTGCAGGCCTTCATAGGTGCTGTTCGCTACCAGCACTTTCCCCAACAGTCTGTTACAGGCTACACTGGGGGGGGGGGGGGGGGGGGGGTTAATTATTCTGACGCGGCCGAGTGACTCAGAAGTCAAGAGACTCCAAGCCGGAAACTCAAGCGTCTTGAAATGTCTTGATTTTTTTTTACTTTTGCTTAAACCTTTTGGGCGGCAACGCGCACAACCGGCACCGCGAAGGGACTCGTCTCTCTCTCACTCTCTCTGCTCGCTTGCACGCGCGTCATCATCGTCGCCACCCGCTCTCCAGGGCGAGAGCGTGGACAACTTCAACTGGGGCGTGCGGCGACGCTCGCTGGACAGCATCGACAAGGTGGAGCTGCCCTCGCTGCACGAGTGCCAGTTCATGGGCACGGGCGCCGGCGGCAGCGTGAAGCAGCTCAACGCGGAGGAGACGGACGAGTCCAGCGACGAGGAGGTGACTGCCCCCCCTCATCCAGCGGCGCTCGTCGCCTGTGTAGGGGGAAAGATTAAAACTGGCGGAAAACCCCTCTTGATGACGACCAAGTGCTGGATTATCCGAGTAGTAAAAGTAGCTACACGTGTAGTAGCTACACAAGTAGCTACACATGTAGCTGCTACACATGTAGCTACTACACAAGTAGCTACACAAGTAGCTACTACACAAGTAGCTACTACACAAGTAGCTACTACACAAGTAGCTACACAAGTAGCTACTACACAAGTAGCTACTACATGTGTAGCTACTACATGTGTAGTAGTTACACAAGTAGCTACTACACAAGTAGCTACTACACGTGTGGTAGCTACGAGGCCCCGCACTTTCAAGGGCCCCGCGCTAAATGCTTTCAAGCTATCAATTCCGGTTCAGTGATTCTGCACTTGCTCTATTACTATAGTACTATACCGCCTTCAAATTTTACGAACGACCAGGTCTTTAAGGTTAGCGATTTGTCGTATTATCTGGCTGCGTAGCAAATGAAAAAAACACAATTACTATACTATGCAAGTAAAAAATTAGTGTTTTAATATTTACGTGTTTTTATTTATTTATTTAGGTCCCCTTTATAACATCATGCTACAGGCCCCGCACTTAGCTTAATCCGGCACTGAAAGACGATGAATTGGTTTCTCGAAGACCGGTCGTTAAGTGATGTTGGCCCGTTAAGCGAGTCTAGGAAATTCAGCAGACCCGAGAATTAATGAAGGGATGCGTTTCCACTTGAAACCGCAGCAGCCACCGAGCGTTAACGATGCGCCACGTGCCCCAACGCCCGTGAATGGACGTCGCCGATTGGCCAAGGCCTGGTCAGACCGCTTTGGGAGCTCGCCGATCGGTCGAAATTGGCGGTCGTGTGCTCGTCGTAAGCCCGTCGTTGACAGGGGAATGGTCGCTAAGCGATCGCGTTGGGCTCTATGGGGGCGCTACACGAATACACACGACACTGCTATACACTGCACTACTATACACTACACTATACACTACACATTGGGCTCTGGTGGAGGCCCAACTCGCATGTAGAGACCCATAGACTCGCATAGAGATCCATGCACTCACGAGACTTGCAGACGTACATAGAGAACCATCGTCACCAATTACGACAGCAAAACACTTCACGGAATTAGAATTTGCTCTAAAATTATCTCTCTCTCCCTCTCTCCTTGCCGTCAATGAAAACGTCAACTTATTTTTTTTGTACATGTATTCGTTGATTAATCATAATTAATTAACGATTAAATGTTCAACATTGTAATTATACTCTTTGGTCCTATTCGGTAAAGTCACATTACCTGCGTGACTTTACCGAATAGAACCAAAGAGCGTGGATCCTTGCAGTCACGAAAGCTTCAAATCTAGAATTGTAATTATAATCCCGCGACAGCTCACCACTTACTCGCCAACGGAGGAGTCGCTGGCCAACCACGTGGACTCAATGGCCGCCCCGGCCTCGGAGGGCAGCTCGGGGGTCCCCAACGGCACGGCGACCCCCGCCACCGGCACCCCCAGCGTGGAGGTGTCCACCGCGGACGACGCAGAGCAGCTTGCTTCAGAGGTGCCGCCAGCCCCCCCCCCCCCCGCTACCACCACCACCCCCCCGGAACGCCCGCCCCTCACTCCGCATCGTAACCACAATGCCCCTCCCCTCCTCCTTCACCACTGCCGCCCCCCTCCCCTTTCACCACTGCCGCCCCCTTCACCACTGCCGCCCCCTTCCCCTTCACCACTGCCGCCCCCCTCCCCCTTCACCACTGCCGCCCCCCCTCCTCCTTCACCACTGCCGCCCCCTCCCCCTTCACCACTGCCGCCCCCTTCCCCTTCACCACTGCTGCCCCCTTCCCCTTCACCACTGCCGCCCCCCTCCTCCTTCACCACTACTGCCCCCCTCCTCCTTCACCACTGCCGCCCCCCTCCTCCTTCACCACTGCCGCCCCCCTCCCCCTTCACCACTGCCGCCCCCCTCCTCCTTCACCACTGCTGCCGCCTCCCTCCCCCTTCACCACTGCCGCCCCCCTCCCCCTTCACCACTGCCGCCCCCCTCCTCCTTCAAGCTGCCGCCCCCCTCCCCCTTCACCACTGCCGCCCCCTCCCCCTTCACCACTGCCGCCCCCCTCCCCCTTCACCACTACTGCCCCCCTCCTCCTTCAAGCTGCCGCCCCCCTCCCCCTTCACCACTGCCGCCCCCCTCCTCCTTCACCACTGCTGCCGCCTCCCTCCCCCTTCACCACTGCCGCCCCCCTCCCCCTTCACCACTGCCGCCCCCTCCTCCTTCAAGCTGCCGCCCCCTTCCCCCTTCACCACTGCCGCCCCCTCCCCCTTCACCACTGCCGCCCCCCTCCCCCTTCACCACTGCCGCCCCCCTCCTCCTTCACCACTGCTGCCGCCTCCCTCCCCCTTCACCACTGCCGCCCCCCTCCCCCTTCACCACTGCCGCCCCCTCCTCCTTCAAGCTGCCGCCCCCCTCCCCCTTCACCACTGCCGCCCCCTCCCCCTTCACCACTGCCGCCCCCCTCCCCCTTCACCACTGCTGCCCCCTCCTCCTTCAAGCTGCCGCCCCCCTCCCCCTTCACCACTGCCGCCCCCCTCCCCCTTCACCACTGCCGCCCCCCTCCCCCTTCACCACTGCCGCCCCCCTCCCCCTTCACCACTGCCGCCCCCCCTCCTCCTTCAAGCTGCCGCCCCCCTCCCCCTTCACCACTGCCGCCCCCCTCCTCCTTCAAGCTGCCGCCCCCCTCCCCCTTCACCACTGCCGCCCCCCTCCCCCTTCAAGCTGCCGCCCCCCTCCCCCTTCACCACTGCCGCCCCCCTCCTCCTTCAAGCTGCCGCCCCCCTCCCCCTTCACCACTGCCGCCCCCCTCCCCCTTCACCACTGCTGCCCCCCTCCTCCTTCAAGCTGCCGCCCCCTCTTTACAGCCAACGCCGCCGCGATGCTTTGTGACGACGCCGACGACGCCGCCGCCGCCCGTCGTTTTTTTTCCCCCAGGAGGACGGCGGAGCCGCCGAGACTTCGTCGGCCGCCGACACCGGCGGCCGGGGAGTGGAGTCGCTGGCGAGCGAGGACGACGCCGAAGCCGCGCCGCCTTCCACCACCGTCATCGGCGGCGTCGTCGGCAGCGACGACGACGGTGGAGGAGGAGGAGGTGGAGGAGGAGGTGGAGGAGGAGCGGAGAGCGCCGACAGTGCCATCGTGGTGCTCACCGACACTGAAGAGAAAGATGATACCCACGACGCTGCCATGTCCAGGTTTGTTGTGTGTGGGGGGGGGGGGGGGGGGGTCGGGGGGGATTTTGGGTTCTGTCAGCGGTGAAAGTGGGAGGGCGAAGCGCGCGCCGGTCGGCATGCCGGTGACATCACCGGACCGGTATGCGGGGGCGCTGCGGTGGCTAGGAGATGTTGACTACCTCGCCTGGTGTACAGGAGGCCGTGGGTTCGATCCCGACCCTGACGCGTGGATTTCTCTGCGGGTCCTCCGGTTTTTCCCTCCGCATTTAGAATCGACGTCACGCGTTTAGCGTATTTGGCCACTGCTATGAATTTCCACGCGATAATGATGATGATGACGAGCCACTTCGTTGAGCGATGAATTGTGGCCAGGTCGCTTCTGAAAAAGAGCTACGTAGCTCAGTAGGTCACCGCCGCCATCACCGCCACCACCATCCCCACCACTCATCACCACCTAACCCTCACCACACCGTCACCACCGTCGCTGCCACTGCCACCACTCCAGGTCACTCTTGCAAATTGGACTGCATGCCAGTCTTTTGAGTTCTCATCTGGTGAAACACCACCGTCGTCACCGCCACCTCCTTCTCGCCCCGGCAGCAGCGGCAGCGTCAGCGACGGCGGCGTCATCGGCGTCACCGTCGGCGTCACCGTCGGCGTCGCCTTAGCCGCCGACGACCCGGAGCAGCAGCGGCGGCGGGAGGAGGAGGAGGAGGAGGAGAGCCTGCGGGAGGCCCGGCCCGCAACGCCACCCCCGTCGCCGTTTTTCTCGGCGATCCTCGCCGCGTTCCAGCCGCCGCCGGGCGGCGGTAGCGCCGAGGAGGCGTGGCGCCTCCACGCAGCCGGCGTGCTGTCCGACCAGGACGGCACGTGCGCCGTCCACACCTTCCAGCTGTTCTGCGGCCTCTTCCGGGTGCGGTTATCTCGCCTCCCCACCCCCCCCCCGCCCCCCTCCCCCCCCCCCTCCTCGTCGAGTTGAATAGAATCCTCGCCAATTAAATTATACGTATAATGACCCGGTAAACGTTCAACGTGATGATGATGATTATGATAGGTGTAATGATAAATGTAGTCTCCTGAATGTGATTGTTGTCTTCTTCCACTGGAGGTGGCCCCCCTATGCTATGCCACACACAAGCAAACATTGGCACCCTACTGTTAGACGTGACGCACAGGGGCAGCTGCCCCTAGGCTAGACCGCAAAGCAGCAACATCGCCACCCTCCTGGCAGACTGACGCACAGAGACAGCTACCACTGGGGGTGCCCCTAGGCTAGACCACACAGCAGCAGCAACATCGCCACCCTACTGGCAGACTAATGCACAGGGACAGCTGCCACTGGGGGTGCCCCTAGGCTAGACCACACAGCAGCAGCAACATCGCCACCCTACTGGCAGACTAACACACGGACAGCTGCCACTGGGGGTGCCCCTAGGCTAGACTACACAGCAGCAACATCGCCACCCTACTGGCAGACTGACGCACAGGGACAGCTACCACTGGGGGTGCCCCTAGGCTAGACCACACAGCAGCAACATCGCCACCTTACTGTCAACTTAACGCACAGGGACAGCTGCCACTGGGGGTGCCCCTAGGCTAGACCACACAGCAGCAACATCGCCACCTTACTGGCAACTTAACGCACAGGGACAGCTGCCACTGGGGGTGCCCCTAGGCTAGACCACACAGCAGCAACATCGCCACCCTACTAGCAGACTGACGCACAGGGACAGCTGCCACTGTGGGGGGGGGGGGGGTGCCCCTTTTCAAGTGTGTTGAAATGCAGAGACGCCTCGGTCTAACCACTGTGGTGAGATGTTAACTACCTTACTTGGTATACAGGAGGTCGTGGGTTTGATCCCGACCCTGATGCCTATATATTTGGAGTTTGCTTGTCTCCCTCCCCGTGGTCGCGTGGGTTTTTCGCCACATTTTAGAATCGACGTTCGTTTAAAGTGTTTGGCCGCTCTAAGTTTCCACACGGCGGTAAGCCGTCTCGTCGAGTTGTCATTTGTGGTGGCCAGGTCTCTTCTGACAGAAGAGCTGTACAGCTCAGTGGGCCTTACCTGGTAATACCAGTTTAGTTTAAAGGAGGGGGGCGGGGGCCTCTCAGAAACACAACTCTGAGCAATTGCAATTTCCGTAGCAATCGTCACCCTCGCGATCGTCACCCTCGCGATCGTCGCCCTCGCAATCGTCACCGTCACAATCGTCACCCTCGCGATCGTCTCCCTCGCGATTGTCACCCTCGCAATCGTCACCGTCACAATCGTCACTATCACAATCGTCGCTCTCGCGATCGTCTCCCTCGCGATTGTCACCCTCGCGATCGTCGCCGTCACAATCGTCACCGTCACAATCGTCACTATCACAATCGTCGCTCTCGCGATCGTCACCCTCGCGATCGGCGCCCTCGCGATCGTCACCGTCACAATCGTCACCGTCACAATCGTCACCGTCACGATCGTCACCCTCGCGATCATCACCGTCACAATCGTCACCGTCACAATCGTCACCGTCACAATCGGCGCCCTCGCGATCGTCACCGTCACAATCGTCACCCTCGCGATCGTCACCCTCGCGATCATCACCGTCACAATCGTCACCTTCGCGATCGTCGCCGTCACAATCGTCACCCTCGCGATCATCACCATCACAATCGTCTCCCTTGCGATCATCACCGTCACGATCGTCGCCCTCGCGATCGTCGCCCTCGCGATCGTCGCCCTCACAATCGTCACCGTCACAATCGTCACCATCACAATCGTCACCGTCACAATCGTCGCCGTCGCGATCGTCGCCCTCGCGATCGTCACAATCGTCACCATCAGAATTGTCACCCTCGCGATCGTCACCGTCACAATCGTCGCCCTCGCAATCGTCACCGTCACAATCGTCACTATCACAATCGTCGCCCTCGCGATCATCACCCTCGCGATCATCACCCTCGCGATCGTCTCCCTCGCGATCATCTCCCTCGCGATCGTCACCGTCACAATCGTCACCGTCACAATCGTCTCCCTCGCGATCGGCGCCCTCGCGATTGTCACCGTCACAATCGTCACCGTCACAATCATCACCGTCACAATCGTCGCCCTCGCGATCGACACCGTCACAATCGTCACCGTCACAATTGTCACCGTCACAATCGTCACCGTCACAATTGTCACCGTCACAATCGTCACCCTCGCGATCGTCGGCCTCGCGATCGTCGCCCTCACAATCGTCACCGTCACAATCGTCACTGTCACAATCGTCACCGTCACAATCGTCACCGTCACGATCGTCACCGTCACAATCGTCACTATCACAATCGTCACCCTCGCGATTGTCGCCCTCGCGATCGGCACCCTCGCAATCGTCACCGTCACAATCGTCACCGTCACAATCGTCACCGTCACAATCGTCGCCCTCGCGATCGTCACTCTCGCGATCATCGCAATCGTCACCGTCACAATCGTCACCCTCGCGATCGTCACCCTCGCGATCGTCACCATCGCGATCGTCACCGTCACAATCGTCACCATCGCGATCGTCACCGTCACAATTGTCACTGTCACAATCGTCGCCCTCGCGATCATCACCGTCACGATCGTCGCCCTCGCGATCGTCGCCCTCGCGATCGTCGCCCTCACAATCGTCACCGTCACAATCGTCACCATCACAATCGTCACCGTCACAATCGTCGCCGTCGCGATCGTCGCCCTCGCGATCGTCACAATCGTCACCATCAGAATTGTCACCCTCGCGATCGTCACCGTCACAATCGTCGCCCTCGCAATCGTCACCGTCACAATCGTCACTATCACAATCGTCGCCCTCGCGATCATCACCCTCGCGATCATCACCCTCGCGATCGTCTCCCTCGCGATCATCTCCCTCGCGATCGTCACCGTCACAATCGTCACCGTCACAATCGTCTCCCTCGCGATCGGCGCCCTCGCGATTGTCACCGTCACAATCGTCACCGTCACAATCATCACCGTCACAATCGTCGCCCTCGCGATCGACACCGTCACAATCGTCACCGTCACAATTGTCACCGTCACAATCGTCACCGTCACAATCGTCACCGTCACAATCGTCACCCTCGCGATCGTCGGCCTCGCGATCGTCGCCCTCACAATCGTCACCGTCACAATCGTCACTGTCACAATCGTCACCGTCACAATCGTCACCGTCACGATCGTCACCGTCACAATCGTCACTCTCACAATCGTCACCCTCGCGATTGTCGCCCTCGCGATCGGCGCCCTCGCAATCGTCACCGTCACAATCGTCACCGTCACAATCGTCACCGTCACAATCGTCGCCCTCGCGATCGTCACTCTCGCGATCATCGCAATCGTCACCGTCACAATCGTCACCCTCGCGATCGTCACCCTCGCGATCGTCACCATCGCGATCGTCACCGTCACAATCGTCACCATCGCGATCGTCACCGTCACAATTGTCACTGTCACAATCGTCGCCCTCGCGATCATCGCCCTCGTGATCGTCGCCGTCGCGATCGTCACTATCACAATCGTCGCCCTCGCAATCGTCACCGTCACAATCGTCACTATCACAATCGTCGCCCTCGCGATCATCACCCTCGCGATCATCACCCTCGCGATCGTCTCCCTCGCGATCATCTCCCTCGCGATCGTCACCGTCACAATCGTCACCGTCACAATCGTCTCCCTCGCGATCGGCGCCCTCGCGATTGTCACCGTCACAATCGTCACCGTCACAATCATCACCGTCACAATCGTCGCCCTCGCGATCGACACCGTCACAATCGTCACCGTCACAATCGTCACCGTCACAATCGTCACCGTCACAATCGTCACCGTCACAATCGTCACCCTCGCGATCGTCGGCCTCGCGATCGTCGCCCTCACAATCGTCACCGTCACAATCGTCACTGTCACAATCGTCACCGTCACAATCGTCACCGTCACGATCGTCACCGTCACAATCGTCACTATCACAATCGTCACCCTCGCGATTGTCGCCCTCGCGATCGGCGCCCTCGCAATCGTCACCGTCACAATCGTCACCGTCACAATCGTCACCGTCACAATCGTCGCCCTCGCGATCGTCACTCTCGCGATCATCGCAATCGTCACCGTCACAATCGTCACCCTCGCGATCGTCACCCTCGCGATTGTCACCATCGCGATCGTCACCGTCACAATCGTCACCATCGCGATCGTCACCGTCACAATTGTCACTGTCACAATCGTCGCCCTCGCGATCATCGCCCTCGTGATTGTCGCCGTCGCGATCGTCACTATCACAATCGTCACCCTCGCGATCGTCACCGTCACAATCGTCGCCGTCACGATCGTCGCCCTCGCGATCGGCGCCCTCGCGATCGTCACCGTTGCACCGATCGACGTCGCAACTCGGCCATCGCCGTTTGCCATTCTTTCCTCTGCCCGCAGAACGTACGGCGCGGATTTTGCTCCTTGACGCACGACGCCAGCAGCTACCTGGGCGACGGCCTGCACGGCATGGGCCCCAGGTTCATGAGCTCCGCGGAGGTGCTGATCTCCTCCTCCGAGTGTCCCACCGTGTTCATCGACGCCGACACGGTGCGCCGTCCTCACCCTCACCGCCACCTCCTCCGTCCCGTCACTCGTCCTCCTCCTCATCGTCCTCCTCATCGTCCTCCTCATCGTCCCCGTCGTCTTCCCCATCATTCTGTCAATGTCCCTCACTCTTGCCTCTCCCCCTCCCTCCCTCCTCCTCCTCCCTTCCCTCCTTCCTCGTCCTCCTCCTCCCACCCTCCCTCTATTCCCGCTCAGTGCCTCACTCTTCCTCATCATTACCATCGTCACCATCCTCTTCATGACCACCTCCTCACCCTTCCCAGCGCTCGAGGCTCTGCCTGATAAGCTAAACTAAAACTATTGCTATTTTACCAGGTGAGGCACACTGAGCTACGTAGCTCTCTTTCAAAAGCGACCTGGCCCATCACAAATGTTATCTCACGTGGAAATCTGTTGCGGCCAAATGCTGTAAGCGCGTGATGTTGATTCCGAATGTGGAGGGAGATAACGGGGGACCCGGAGAAAGAAATCCACGCGACCACGGGGTGAACGTGCGTTCAGAGTGTGATTGCGTTTTAGTTTATCCTTCCCCCCGCACCTCCCGCACCTCCGATTAGCACGGTTGGCTGCTTACGGTGCAAAAGAAATCCAACATGCGTGCATGCAATCTCCGAACATACAGCAGGCGTTGGGGTCGGGCTGGAACCCACGACCTCCTGCATACCAGGCGAGGTAGTTAACATCTCGCCACATGGAGAGAGAGAGAGACACGCACACTCCAAATATATAGCAGGCGTCAGGGTCGGGATTGAACCCACGACCTCCTGTAGACCAGACGAAACATCGTACTCAAACTGTAAATGTTGTGGATTCACTCTTCAACACACCGGTGGGCTAAAGTAGTGAACTATTTGTCTTTTGTCAACATGACACTTTTTTGCTGATTGGCCGTGTCAGGTGGTGGAGGGTTATGACACATTTATAAATAATGCGATCTAACCCAAAAACCTTTACTATGAATAATATTGGCCACGAAAGCCTGGCGAGGTAGTTAACATCTCGCCAATCATTTCCCGAATTCCCGGATCCCCCGCTCCCCCACACCCCCACCGCCCCCCTCCACGGAAGCGTGGAGAAAACCCGGTCGCTCATCCGCCGCTCCCCTCTTGTTTTGCCGCCAGCTGGTGTCCTGCGGCCTCCTGGAGAAGATGAAGTTCGGAGTCCTGGAGCTGCAGGAACACCTGGACACCTACGGCAGTAGGCGCGACGCTACGCAGCAGGTGACCCCGCACCGCCCTGGGCACCCTGCCCCTAACCTCCGTCGCCCAGTCCCCGCCCCTGCCCGCCCTCTACCGGGCCCGTTGGCTCGTCCTACGCTCACAGCCGCGACTCATTGGCTGCCTCGTGCCTGCTGCTGATTGGCTGGTTTATACTCACGGCCGTGACTCATTGGCTGCCTCGTGCCTGCTGCTGATTGGCTGGTTTACGCTCACAGCCGCGACTCATTGGCTGCCTCGTGCCTGCTGCTGATTGCCTGGTTTATACTCACGGCCGTGACTGGTTGGCTGCCTCGTGCCTAAGCCTCGGCAAGGTAAGGTAAATTTTGATTTAAAGCTTTCGTGACTGCAGTAATTCATATTCTTAGCTCTTTCGGTAAAGTCACGTTGAAGGGAAACAATAAAATAATAAAATATATATAAAACAATAAAAATTCTCACGACCGTTTGTGTAATGGTCGAAAGGTCGTGGGAATTTCTATTTATATATATTTTATTATTTTATTGTTTCCCTTCAACGTGACTTTACCGAAAGAGCTAAGAATAAGATAAGATAATTTACCCTTTTTACCGGGTAAAAGGGTCAAGGTAAAGGTGTCGACATGCCAAGGGGTAAGGTAAAGGGTAGGGTAAAGGTAGCTCGGAAGAATTACCCTGTAGGGTAAAGGTAGCGCGAAGTACTACCCCGGTAAATACGGTGCCTTGTTTACCGCTAAAAGCTCCGTGGCGCAGTCCGTGGCCTCCATTTAATAAGTAATATTTTGAAAACTTTTTTTTAAAAACACGCTTTCATGAAATGTGCGAGTAATGGCCGAACTCCACGAGTCCACGACTCCAGGAAGTGGCCCCGAAGCTTGCCACAACGTAAGGGACCGTGGTGATTTACAGCCAACGTGAGTTGAGCGTGGACAATTAGACCCAAGCCGAAGCATAACCTATAAAAAATCATGTTTAAAAATGTATATATATTTTTTTAATGAATATAGTATTGTCATCAGTGTGACATAAGTATACCAAGTTTGCAGTCGATACCACATTGGGAACTGGGTTAAAATTGAGTTACAAGATTTGAGGATACAACAACAACAGACAGTGAGTTAAAAGAAAGCGTGTAAAATTGGAATCATATGAATAAAGCGCTCTACCTAGCGTTTACCTGCTATAAACCTTTTTCACGTGTAGAATTACCCCAGTAATTACCCTGTAATCGGGTCATTTGTATGGGGTAAGGGTAAAAGGTAGGGTAAAGGTAGACTCGTTGCTTTTTACCTTTTACCTTACCTGCTAAAGGGTAAAAGGTAAGGGTAGAGTGATTGTATTGTGGTAAGGTAAAAGGTAGGGTGAAGGTAGGCTCGTTGTTTTTACCTTACCTTGCCGAGGCCTACAGTCGTGCCTGCTGCTGATTGGCTGGTTTACAGTCACAGCCGTGACTGATTGGCTGCCTCTTGCCTGCTGCCGATTGGCTGGTTTACACTCACAGCCGTGACTGATTGGCTGCCTCCTGCCTACTGCTAATTGGCTGGTTTACACTCACAGCCGCGCCTGATTGGCTGCCCCTTTCCTGCTGTTCATAGGCTCATTCTACACTCACAATCGCGGCTGCCTCATGCCTGTTGCCCCAACAATCTGTGCAGGCTATACGGGGGATCGTTGTCTTTGTGACCGTAAAAATAAGTATATAATAGGCGACGTTTCGGGCAACGACCCTTCTTCACAGCGCGTAGTTAAGGCCGGAGCGTTAATGGGTGACTCTGCTCGTCATGACGATTGTGTTGTGCGCCGCGTTGGCTATGAGATGTTAACTACCTCGCCTGGTATACAGGAGGTCGTGGGTTCGATCCCGACCCTGACGCCTGCTGCTGTATATTTGTGTTTGAGTGTCTCTCTCCCCGTGGTCACGTGGATTTTTCTCCGTGTCCTCCGGTTTTTCCCTCCACATTTAGAAACACGAGCTTAAAGAGTATTTTGACTGCTACAAATTCCCATGTGATGATAAATCAGCTTCTTCGTTGAGGTATCATTTGTGAAAGTCAGGTCACTTCTGAAAAATAGCTACATTGTAGCTCGGTGGCCTTACCTGCTAAAATAAAAAATAGTTTTAGTTTCTTAGTTTACTTTGCCCTTAGCCATTAAGATTCTCTCCATCACGAGCGATTTTGCCAGTGGAATATTTGAACTCTTTAATTCAGGGGTCCCCAACCCCCGGGCCACGGTCCCGTGGCCTGTTAGGAACCGGGCCGCCACAGCATGAGGTGAGAGCGGCGAGGTCCGACCCCATTATTTTACTTGCTACTTCCGTCCGCGCCTCTTTCCCGCACTGCGCTCTCGTCTCGGTCACAAGCTAACCCTAGGCAAAATGAGTAAAAAACACAAACGTCGCTGTAGAGCTTCTTTGAAAATGGGGAAAGACCCAATGATGAACGCCCCCCCCCCCCCGGTCCGTGAAAAAATTGTCTTCCACAAAACCGGTCCCTGGTGCCAAAAAGGTTGGGGAGCGCTGCTTTAATTGATTGATGATAGCCCTGCATGATGCAGTGGCTTTGATTTCTTGCATTAGTCCAGATGCTCCGTTTCATTTCAATGTTTAGAATGGCATGCACACATATAAACTGTATTTATATTTTCATCCTTAAGATATATTTCTTATATATGTGTCGAATGTGCAAAGGAGATGCACACCTGAAATTACACTTGAGAGACGGGATGGGGAACACGTGGATTAGAGAACAACACGCAGGGTAGAGACATCATCACATTGCTCTTCAACCAGCAGTGGATAAGACCGTAGGTGATGGTGGTGATGATTACCATTCCTATGCTGAGATTTATTTCCTCGCAATATTTCTGGGGTTTTATCTCGGGAGATATTGCATTTGGCTAAACGGAAGAGATTTCCCGAGCGCCAATAATATTACTTTATTGGTTTTAAGATGCGATAGACAGGATGGATGTGCATGGCAATGCGTATCTGGTGGTGGTGGAGGAGGACGCTGCTGCTGGGCAAGTTGGAGGCAGTCGCCCTCCAGCAATAACGGAGGGCGGAGCAGCGACACTCACAACAACAAGCGGAGCGCCGGGTGGCTAAAGCACAGCAGGTTGGCACAGTAGGGGGCACAGGTGGTGCATCAGCCAGTCATCTCAGTCAGTCGACCCGTGGCACCTGCTGGGTCTGTCCTGTCATCTCCTGCACCTAGCCTGGCACAGTAGGGGTCACAGGTGGTGCATCTGCCAGTAGTCATCTCAGTCAGTCGACCCATGGCACCTGCTGGGTCTGCCCCATGACCTGCCAGCAGCGAGAGAGCCTTCGACACTTCACGTGACCGCCTCGAAGCGCACCTAGCCTGGCACAATTGCCGTGGTGACAGCTGTCATCGTCGTTGTTGGTTGACACCAGCGATCCCGCGATTCATCGTGAGCCGTGGTCGATCCGCTGCTGGATGAATGCTCACCGATCCGCCCGGCGCCTTCGACTCGGCACGCCGATTTCATCGTCGCTCCATCTCCCCGGCGGCGCCACCGCCAACACAAGCGGCCTTGTTGTGGCCGAAACGTCGTGAGAGTTTTATTGTGTTATTTTATTTTATCAATTTATTATTTTATTCTCATTCTAACGTGGTGACTTTACCCAAAGAACCAAAGAAGATGAATCCTTGCAGTCACGAAAGCTTTAAATCGAAATTGGCTCATCATCGTCGTGCGGACATTTACGGCAGTAGGCGAATGCTCTGAACGTGCGGTGTTGTTGTTTCTAAAATGTGGAGGGGGAAAAACCGGAGGAACCGGAGAGAAATCCACGTGACCAGGTGAGGGAGTTGTACATCTCCACCACGGAGAGAGAGTGAGAACACGCAGACCCCAAATACACATTATGGCGTCGTCAGGTTCGCGATCAAACCCGCGACCCCCTGGGGAGTGAACATCCCGGCACCCCGATGTTGGCCGCTCTGCGTGACGAGATCGTTCCGTGGCCTAACCCGGCAGGCCCTATCCGAATCGTGTTTATTTATCCTGGAGAAATCCGATGAGCTCGGAAGCTCTTTGTTCTTGTGACTCGCACCTGACCTCAAAAAGGAATTGGCCAAACGTCCCAGTGTAGAGAGGGGGGGGGGGGGGGGGGGGGGGCGGGGGGGGTTGGACGACACTCCTAAAAATTAAAAGGGTGTTTGAAAGATCCGTCTCGAGCAGGCGGATAAACGAATGACATCGGTGGCCACCACCAAACATTCGGCGCCCGGTACCAGAAAGCAGAGCAGGGAGAGAGCAGACAGATTGACGATAGGCTTGACGAATGAATTAACGAATGAGTGGCTGATAAGAATCATGAACGGGTGGGCCGAGCGAGCGGGCCCTGTGGCTCGGCAGCTTCTGACGAACCGCTCGCGCGAACACAAAAAAAACAATGTCACCGCTGGCATTTGGCGAATCCGAAATGAGCCCCCTCCGTCTCTCGCGACACAACCTTGTCACAGCCGTCCATGTTTTTATTTTTAGTGGGGGGGGGGGGGGGTTGGGAGGGGGGGTGGTGCCGGGGGGTTTGTTCACCCTCCACCCCCCCCCCGCCCCCCAGCGCTGTCTCTGTGTGTGTGTTACTCTTCCGGCTAGGTTCTGAATGGTAATAACCCCGGGGCACGTCACACGCCCAGCCGTGGCTGTCACAGTTGTGCCGCGTGGTGCCGCCGTGTTTGTAGACACACCCCTGCGTCAAGCTGGAGGTTTGACAGCGGTAACATTTAGCTGTCCACCTCCTCATCCCCCCCTCCTCATATCCCCCCCCTCCTCATCCCCCCCCCCTCCTCATCCCCCCCCCTCCTCATCTCCTCATACCCCCCTCCTCATCCCCCCCCCTCCTCATCCCCCCCCCTCCTCATCCCTCCCTCCTCCTCATCCCCCCCTCCTCATCCCCCCCCTCCTCATTCCCCCTCCTGATCCCCCCCTCCTCACCCCCCCCTCCTCACCCCCCTTCCTCATCCCCCATCCTCACCCCTCCACCTCATCCCCCCTCCTCATTTCCCCCTCATCCCCCCTCCTCATCCCCCCTCCTCATTCCCTCCTCCTCATCCCCCCCCCTCCTCACCCCCCCTCCTCACCCCCCTTCCTCCTCCTCCGCGACTCACATCGAGATGAGGGTAATTGATAATGGGGTAGTGGGGCTGTATTTTTCATGCCAATAGCGGGTCTTATGGCACAGATTTTGCGAGATCATTTTACGTGGCCTCTCCATGATTGTTGTTGTTGTTATTATGATTCCACTCGTTCCCCCGGGAGAGTCTCACCAGAGTCTCAAGACACTTCTTTCGCGAGGGTCCTGCCAGGTTTTCCACAGTCAGGGGACAACAGTTGCTGCTGCTGCTGCTGCTGTTGCAAGTGTAGCTAGCGAGCACCTATGAAGGCCGGCACGGCACACGAGGCGGTGGGTGGCCAGCACCACGCCCGGCCGCCTTTGCCTCCCCAGTGGCGATGTTTACACACTGCACCGGGTACTCATTTGAGGCTGAGTTGACCTAGGGAATAGAGGGGGGGGGGGGGGTGGGAGGCCCAGGACCGGTTCAGATAATCGTCGCCGGTGTTGGCCGTGAGCTACACTACCGATCCCCCACGCACACCCTCTCGCGCTCAGCTGACCAGGGGTCCGACATACAAACTCCACTCACTTATGGTCACTCGCCTGTGCCCGCTCGCTCCTACTCTCTCTCTGCAGCACGGGGGGAAGGGAGAGCCATACGAACTCCACACGTTAGAAAGGCACCCGAGTCTGCAATCGAACCCGCAAACCACTTCCTTGCTGCGTGCCACCGGAGTCGCCGCCGCCGCAGCACTGCGGCCACCCTTTTAAGGTCGCCATTCTGTACGGGCAAAGCGCTCGGCCACAAATGAACCACAGTACCACGCTGATCTCGTCAAGGAGCAATAAGCCATCGCGCCAACTCCCGACGCCGCCGCAGCGGCAGCAAAATTTTTTTTGGCTAAGCGTGTAACAGAGAAGGGTGGTCACCGTACCACGCGGCGCTGTCAGGTGCGCTCATGCGGCCGTCTGGAACGCTCTTCCTTCCGACATTAGGGAGCCACTGCAGCTTTTTTAATTAACAATGAAAACTGATTTTTTTTTCAGAACTGCTTCTTGCGTACAGTTTGTTGTCCTTCCCAGCTCCTGCTGTTGCGGAGTGACTCATGCAGCCAGCTATGGCTGCAGGGTTTGGTGGTGCATGTTGTTTATGTCGTTTATTGTGAAATTTCGGTCACAGTTCCTATGATCACTGTTACAGTGCTTTTACGGCTTTATTTTGGTGGTTTCGAAAACGTTTTTTTGGTTTGGCCATGTTTGTTTGTTGTAGTACGGCGTTAGAATGATGGCTTTAATCGAAGTTGTATTGTTGTTGTTGTTGTTTGACTTGCATCCCACTGGGATTTTTGCACACAGCGTTGGTGTACGGTGCTTTTTCTTGAAGATTTTGCTGGTTTTTTTCCCTGGATTTTCCTGTTTGCGCAGTCGCACACAGTCACTTTAAGACGGTTTTTCTTGTTCGTGTTTTTTTGCTTGTTGCGGTTGCACCCGATTCAAGGGCCGAACGGCTCGCAGGGCCATACCAACATACATGAAACTGAAAACTGAAAAAACAGCGACGCACGTCGCGAAAGAAGCCCGGCATGCTCACGCGCACACCCGTGCCGGCCCTGACCCGGAAGTCCGTGACGTATCTCGACATCGGCACACGCGGGGATGCCCCTTTTCCTCCGCCTGTGCAACGTCAACTACGTCGGTTTCTCACACGGCCACCATTGCTTCTTTGCCCCCCCCCACCCCCTACCCACCACTCCCCCGCCCACCCCGCTTCAGTGGCTCAACAACTGCAAGAGAACGTTCGTGGCTTGCACCCAACCGGAGGAGACGGCGGGCGGCGTCATAACGAGCCAGCCAATCGGCTCCAAGGAGAAGGTAAAAATCGAGACGGCTCAAAGGGCTGCTCCTGCAGCGGTAGTTGTGAACGGCGGTGGACACGAGCGGAGTGATTGATGTGGCAGCGCGGGGAGGCGGGGGGGGGGGGAGCTGGTGCAAGGGGAGAGGAATGAGTGGCCGAGTCACGCGGAAGGGCAGCAGCGGAGGGGTCGAGGGGAGGGAAAGAGGAAGGGAATGGGCGATGGTGGGGAAGAGGTGAGGCTTTGAGAGGGGGGGTACGGAAGGAAGTTGAGGAGGAGGACTGCTTCATGTACAGGGGCGGTGTTGAGTCGATGGTGCGGTGTTGAGTCTATGGGCAGTGCTGAGTCTGTGGGCAGTGCTGAGTCTATGGGTAGTGGTGAGTCTATGGGCAGTGTTGGGTCTATCGGCAGTGCTGAGTCTCTGGGCAGTGTTGAGTCTATGGGCAGTGTTGAGTCTAAGGAAGTTAAGGAGGAGGACTGCTTCATGTACAGGGGCGGTGTTGAGTCGATGGTGCGGTGTTGAGTTGATGGTGCAGTGCTGAGTCTATGGGCAGTGTTGAGTCTGTGGGCAGTGCTGAGTCTCTGGGCAGTGCTGAGTCTCTGGGCAGTACTGAGTCTCTGGGCAGTGCTGAGTCTCTGGGCAGTGTTGAGTCTATGGGCAGTGTTGAGTCTATGGGCAATGTTGAGTCTATGTTCAGTGTTGAGTCTATGGGCAGTGCTGAGTCTCTGGGCAGTGTTGAGTCTCTGGGCAGTGTTGAGTCTCTGGGCAGTGCTGAGTCTATGGTGCAGTGTTGAGTCTATGGGCAGTGTTGAGTCTATGGTGCAGTGTTGAGTCTATGGGGTAGTGTTGAGTCTATGGGTAGTGTTGAGTCTATGGGTAGTGTTGAGTCTGTGGGTAGTATTAAGTCTATGGGTAGTGTTGAGTCGGTGGGTAGTGTTGAGTCTATGGGCAGTGTTGAGTCTATGGGCAGTGTTGAGTCTATGGGCAGTGTTGAGTCTATGGTGCAGTGCTGAGTCTATAGGTAGTGTTGAGTCTATGGGCAGTGTTGAGTCTATGGGCAGTGTTGAGTCTATGGGCAGTGTTGAGTCTATGGTGCAGTGCTGAGTCTATGGGTAGTGCTGAGTCTATGGGCAGTGCTGAGTCTATGGGCAGTGTTGAGTCTATGGGCATTACGAACGCCCCTAGTTAGTAATTTGTTAGCTGACGCCCGCAAACGACCAATCATCGCTTTGTAAAGTCGTCATCGCCGCCGCGGCGAAATCATCATCGGGGGTTATAAGTTCAAATCCAGGTCAGGGTCATCGCCCTCCCTGGGGAACCATTCAACGGCGATTGATGCATGGAGAGACTGAGACCCCCGCCATAGTAACGTGGAATTTACAACGCTGGCTCGGTGCCCACAATGGGCGGATGAGTGCCGCCCCCTACTCGAGAGAGCAGAGGCATCCCAACCCATCGGTAGATCTGTGAAACATTAATCATCTAAATTGGCCGGGTGTCACAGTGGGGGTTCTTCATGGCCGTGTCAGAGACGCTGAGCCGGCGTCGCTCTGGGTTCCAATCCGAGTTTTGGCCCCAACCACGGCGATTACGCCTCAGTCTCATAGACCCACACAGAGACGCACAGACTCACGTAGAGATCCACAGACTCACATAGAGACCTACAGGCTCACATAGAGACTCACAGACTCGCATAGAGACCTACAGACTTACATAGACTCACATGCTCACATAGAGACTCACATAGAGACTCACAGACTCACATAGAGACCTACAGACTCACATAGACTCACATAGAGACTCACAGACTCACATAGACCCACACAGAGACCCACCGACTCACATAGAGCTCCACAGACTCACATAGAGACCTACAGACTCACATAGAGACTCACATACTCACATAGACTCACATAGAGACTCACAGACTCACATAGACCCACACAGAGACCCACCGACTCACATAGAGCTCCACAGACTCACATAGAGACCTACAGACTCACATAGAGACTCACATACTCACATAAAGACCTACAGACTCACATAGGCTCACATAGAGACTCACAGACTCAGACTCACATAGACTCACAGGCTCACATAGAGACTCAAGACTCAGACTCACAAAGAGACTCACATAGACTCACAGGCTCACATAGAGACTCACACAGAGACCCACAGACTCACATAGAGATCCACAGACTCACATAGAGACCTACAGACTCACACAGAGACTCACAGACTCACACAGAGATCCACAGACTCACACATAGATCCACAGATTCACAAAGAGATCCACAGACTCACACGGAGACCCACAGCCTCACACAGAGACCCATAGACTCACAACAGGTTACCCATAGACTCACAACAGGTTACCCATAGATTCACAACAGGTACCCATAGATTCACCCAAAGACCCATGGACTCGCACAGATACCCATAGACTCACAAAGAGACCCAGGGCCTCACAACAGCGACCTATAGACTCACAACAGACAACCCATGGACTCACAACAGAGACCCACGGACTCCGCGTAGACGCGAGCTGCGATCAAACCGGGTTGCCCAGCGTCGATGGGCAGGCGACGTTTGTCGGCGGAGCTGACGCGGCAAATCGGTTTCCTAGGGCACGGGCCTAAACGTGCCGTGGCTCTCTCTGGGGCCCGACTGGCGCGGGGGGGAGGAGGGGGGGGGGAAATTACATTAGCCTTTCATTTAATCAGCTGGGGGTAGGAGGGGGAGGTGGGGGATTGTGTGGGGGGGGGGAGGTTGGGTGGGAGCGGTGGGTGGGAGGGGCGCACCACTCCGAGAGATGAGCTCCGGGTTTATCGATTGGCCGGGATATTTACGGCCGACAGAATCCGTCTCGGGCTGTTTAACCCCTTTGGTGGTGCGGGGGGGTGGGGGGAGTGTGTGTGAGACGCGCGCGCTCACAGCTGACGGTACCTGGGTTCGAGACGTGGCAGGGGGGGGATTCGCAATCGCCGTGTCAGAGACAGTGAACCGGCACCGCTAAGTTTCTGGGTTCAAGCTCTGTGGCTTTGCATGTGCGTGTCTGTCTCTCTCAAGGGGTTCATAATGGTCGTGTCGGAGACAGTGAACCGGTACCGCTAAGTTTCTGGGTTCAAGCTCTGGGGCTTTGCGCGTGCGTGTCTGTCTCTGTCAAGGGGATCATAATGGTCGTGTCGGAGACACTGAACCGGGACCACTAAGTTGCTGGGTTCAAACCGTGGGGCTTTGCGTGTGCGTGTCTGTCTCTGTCAAGGGGTTCATAATGGTCGTGTCGGAGACACTGAACCGGGACCACTAAGGTGGCACTGGGGGTGCCCCTAGGCCAGCCCACACAGCGGCATTGCCCTCCCCCCCCCCGCCCTGTACTGCGAGACTACCACAGCCCCCGCGTCCGTGAGATTCAGCGGCACCTCGCTTCGTCCATGATAGCCTTGTTGCTGTAGGAATGATAGTGGCAACACTGAATGTATGTACATCATTGTTGCCATTGTTGTTACCACATCAGTAACACCCAATGTATATACATTATTATTATTGTTACCATAGCGGCAACACCCAATGTATATACAACATTATTATTGTTACCATAGCGGCAACACCGAATATATATACATTATTATTGTTACTATAGCGGCAACAACGACTGTATATACACTATTGATATTCTATTCTTGGTTCTTTCGGTAAAGTCACGTATAAGGGAAACAATAAAAGGATAAAAATATAAAACAATAAAAGAACCAAGAATATGAATCCCTGCAGTCACGAAAGCTTTAAATCACTATTGATATTATTACTACGATAGCGGCAACACCCAATGTATATACATGATTAATGTTTCAGTTTCATTTATTTGGAATAACCCTGTGAGCCATTCGGCTCTTGATTCGGGTGCAACCGCAACAAACACTACAATTACAAGATACATTTTTAATTTACTGTACGCAAATTAAAATACATCCCCTACAAAAACAATAAAATCTTCCAGAAAAAGCACCGTTTGTTTACGCTGCGTACAAAAATGTGCAAAAAAAATCCATTTTGATGTTTGATCACAGTAACAATCATAATACAATTTAGATTAACATTTTAGTCTAACTCTATACTATATAAAAAAAAATCTGGCTAAACTAAACCTTTCTAGAAATTACTAAAATAATGCTATAAAAACAATCTAACGGTGAATTTTGATTTAAAGCTTTCGTGACTGCAGTGATTCATATTATTGGTTCTTTCGGTAAAGTCACGTTGAAGGGAAACAATAAAATAATCAAATATATATAAAACAATAAAATTCTCACGACGTTTCGACTGTAACACAAACAGTCATCATCAGGTGTGAAAAAACCAACGGCAAGAAGCATTTGAAAGAAGTGGCGGTTTGTATGTAGCGACATACGTAACATATATTACTAAACCTAGCATCCTTCGCTAGCTGCACGAGTCAATCCATATTTTTACTACGATAGCAGCAACATCGAATATATTATTGTTACCATCGCGGCAACACCCACTGTATGTACGTTATTATTATTGTTATTACTACGATATCGGAAACACCGAATGAACTCAATAATAATCATTCACATCTTTGTGCCATTCAACGTGCCGGGTCAAAGGGGGATTCCGTGACGGCGCTGTCAATGTTCTCCTGCTGGGTCGTCTCTGCGGTCCGGTTATTTGATTCCGCGTTTGAGGAAACGCCGCGTTAGCTTGGAGGGTCGGGTCTGTGGGGGAGCCCCGGGCTGGATGTTTGGGGGGGGTCAGCGTTGCGGTTTGCGGGTTGTGGGACCTTATCGTTGTGTCTCTCGCTCTCTCTTTGGTTAGGGGGCTTCGCTCGTGGTTTTGGGAGCACGTGGGTTCGAGTCCGGGTCTGGGACTGACTGAGTAGCGCCACTTTCCTTTGGGGGCCATGGTTCGTATTGGGTTAGGGGTTAGCGTTGAGTTAAGGTTAGGATTGGGTTCAGGGTGAGTATTGGGTTCGAGTTAAGACTGTGTCAGGGTTTGTGATTGCGTTAAGGTTTAGGATTGGGTTAGAGTTTGTGTTGGATCACTATTAACATTGAGTTAGGGTTTAGGATTGCGTTAAGGTTTAGGATCGGGTGAGGATTTGTGTTGGATCATTATTAGGATTGGGTTATGTTATAGAATTTGGGTTAAGGTTTAGGATTGGGTTGAGGTTTCGAATTGGGTTCTGGTTTAGGATTGGGTTAAGGTTTAGGATTGGGTTAGCGTTCGCGTTGGCCACATGCACATGACCCACGCGTGTTTTACATGACCTACGCGTTGCAGTGGCACGCGCGTGCGTCACTGCATAGCGCAGCGTTTCCGTCCCGTCTTGGCTTTCAATGACGTTAATGACTCCTCCGTCGATCTGTTTTTTTTCCGGGATTTGGCGCTGTCACGCAGTGAAATCGGACACCCGGCAAAATTAACCGATCGGCGATTTGCCCGTGTGATAAGAATAAGAATAAATTGGGGCGTGGCGTTGCCCCCCGTAGGGGCGTATGACCATGCCCATTGTGTGGTCTTGCGGAACCCGGATCGAGGTGTTCCCATCGCGTCGGATTCCGCTCACGATCGATGCGACAGGCGTGTGTCAAGGGTCACCGATTCGTCTTAAGGGTTAATCGCCCCCTTTGTTTGATTGGCTAACGACCGCTCGTGATCGGCGAGTCGCTAGCAGTCCGTTTCCGCCGCGTTACAGCACTGCCCGATGTTGGCCAAATGGCCCCGACTCGCTCACTCACTCTCTCGCTCTTTTCTGCTCTCAATCCCTTCTCCTCTCTCTCTGTCCTCTCTCTCTGTTCCTTCCCACCCCCCCCCCCCCCCCCTTCTTCTTTACTTCTTACGTTCGTGCTAAGAACTTGGAATCGCTAGCAGTAAGTACGGATTCTACTGTGCCTCTCCCCCTCCTTTCACAATTGCCCTCCCGCAAACCCCTCCCCCCCCTTCGCCTTTCCCTATCTGCAACACACTGTGTGTAGGTTGTATGTTCTCCCGCTGTTCTGCATGGCTTTCCTCCGGGTTCTCCGGTTTTTCCTCCTCCCGTGGCTGAAGTAAAATGCCGTCGTACGATGGAGCCGCTATCGGGCCCAAAACAAACAAACAAAAACGCCCCAACGCCGAAGAAAATGATGACGCTTGGAGATCACTCGGTTGGCATCGCTCTCGGTGGCAACATCACCGTCCCCTTGACCACGGAAACCCCACCGCAGCCTGTGTGGTGTGAAACACAGCGGCACCTTGCTCCGGGATGACAGCATTTGTGCCGCACAGGGACAGCTGCCACTGTGGTTGCCCCCCTAGGCTAGACCACACAGCAGCAACAACATCGCCACCCTACTGGCAGACTAACGCAGAGGGACAGCTGCCACTGGGGGTGCCCCTAGGATAGGCCACACAGCAGCAACATCTCCACCCTACTGGCAGACTGACGCACAGGGACAGCTGCCCCTGGGGGTGCCCCCCTAGGCTAGACCACACAGCAGCATCGCTCCCCCTACTGACAGACTGACGCACAGGGACAGCTGCCCCTGGGGGTGCCCCTAGGATAGACCACACAGCAGCAACATCTCCACCCTACTGGCAGACTGACGCAGAGGGACAGCTGCCACTGGGGGTGCCCCCTAGGCTAGACCACACAGCAGCAACAACATTGCCACCCTACTGACAGACTAACGCACAGGGACAGCTGCCACTGGGGGTGCCACTAGGCTAGACCACACAGCAGCAACAACATCGCCACCCTACTGGCAGACTGACGCACAGGGACAGCTGCCACTGGGGGTGCCCCCCTAGGCTAGACCACACAGCAGCAACATCGCCACCCTACTGGCAGACTGACGCACAGGGACAGCTGCCACTGGGGGTGCCCCCTAGGCTAGACCACACAGCAGCAACAACATTGCCACCCTACTGACAGACTAACGCACAGGGACAGCTGCCACTGGGGGTGCCACTAGGCTAGACCACACAGCAGCAACAACATCGCCACCCTACTGGCAGACTGACGCACAGGGACAGCTGCCACTGGGGGTGCCCCCCTAGGCTAGACCACACAGCAGCATCGCTCCCCCTACTGACAGACTGACGCACAGGGACAGCTGCCCCTGGGGGTGCCACTAGGCTAGACCACACAGCAGCAACAACATCGCCACCCTACTGGCAGACTGACGCACAGGGACAGCTGCCACTGGGGGTGCCCCTAGGCTAGACCACACAGCAGCAGCAGCAGCATCGCTCCCCCTACTTACATAAACTACCGCAGCGCGCGTCTGTGAAAGCCGGCGACGGACGCCTCCCTCTGCGGACGACCGCCTTGCGCCGCAAGAACGACGGCGCCGAGACGAAATGCACGAGGTGTAACTTGCTCGATGAATCTACGGCGAGTGCTCCGTTTACGTGTGTGGATGCGTCCCCTGGAAAACACCCGACGTCAGGCAAAACGGCGCAAATAAAACAAAAAACCTTTATTTTACCGTCGACTTAACGGTGGATTTACTTCTCCAGCACACCGCTGGGCTGGTGTAGCCGCTAATCGGCACGTTTTGTTTACGTGACAAACCTTGCTGGCTGTTCTAGATTTGAAGCTTTCGTGACTGCAAGGATCAATACTCTTTGGTTCTATTCGGTAAAGTCACGTAGGTAAAAAACAAAACAACAAAAAATCACAACGTTTCGGCCACAACACAAGTGGCCTTCATCAGGTGAAGGTACCGTACTGTCCAGAGGACAGCGTTGGAGTGAAAGGACGCGACCTGGGCTTGGCTGTCTTCACTCCAACGCTGTCCTCTGGACAGTACGGTCCCTTCACCTGATGAAGGCCACTTGTGTTGTGGCCGAAACGTCGTGATTTTTGTTGTTTTGTTTATCAAAATTTGCCGGATTCGGGTGGTCGGGGAAATATTAAACAAGTTCCAAAAGTGATATGACGAAAAGGTACCCAAGTAAGACATGATGTAACAAGTTTAAACGAACTATGATAATTATAATCATGAGTTAATACAGAGCACTCGCCAGAGATGGCTGTGGAGGGCGGTACATTATAGAGTGCGTTGGCGATGTTTTGTGGAATCCATAGCTGTCAACCCATACGGTTTACCCCGTAGTCTCGTACAGGGAAATTGAGTTTGCAGGTCCATACGGCATACAGCCGTTTCAATACGGGCAACAACAACAACAACAATTATATTTTGTTTGTGTTTCTCCCTCGTGATGGGACTTTGTAGGATAAACGTTGAGATTTATAAGGGGCACGGGGTGACCAACAAGGTCTGAATTGGTCCGTAATGAAGTTGGCACTGATAAGGGGTTGACAGGTATGGGTATACAGTGTGGCGGCGATATCGAACGGTGCACAGTGTGGTGACGTGCTGTGTACAGTGTGACGATGTGCGGTATACAGTGTGGCTGTTGTGTACAGTGTGACGATGTGCGGTATACAGTGTGACGGGTGTTGTGTACAAGTGTGCCGGTGTTGCGCGGTATACAGTGTGGCGGGTGTTGTGTACAAGTGTGCCGGTGTTGCGCGGTATACAGTGTGGCGGGTGTTGTGTACCCCTTTCCGGCAACGTCCGGGGATGTTCAAACAAAATCGAGCGGATGCTTCGCTTTTCGATAGCGGCGGGCAAATAATAAATTCACTGGGAGAAAACCCCCCCCCACGCCCCCCCCCCCCCCCCCCCCCCCCCCCCCGGCGAACCGTGCGCGTTTTAAATAAAAATTTCACGTCCGTCTGCGCTTCCCCCCCGCGAGTCCGTCGGCGACGTCCCGGCGAAGTGCCGTGCCGTGTCGAGAGAGCTTGCGGTCCTGGCGCGTGCCGCCGTGCGTATGCGGATTCGGCCGTCGGCTTCGAAGCTGTTCCTCACGCGGCTCCTCTCTCTGCTCTTCCCCCCCCCCCGTCCCTCTCCCATCCCGGCCCCCCCCCTCCCCCCACCCCCCAGCAAATGGAGTTGTGCCGAAGGCTGTACAAACTCCACTTCCAGTTTCTGCTGCTTTTTCAGTGTTACGCCAAACTGACGGGCAGCCTTGAGGTGCTCCGCTCCAACCCCACGGTGAGCTGTCGCCACGTGTGCGCGCGCACCGCCAGCACCGCCACCACCACCACAGTCACCGCCACAGTCGCCGCCGCCGCCGCCACCATCGTCGCAATGACCGCTGCAGCCAGCACCGCCGTCACAATCACCGCTACAGCACCACCATCACAGTCGCCGCCACCACAATCAGAGCAACGACTCATAACAATCACTGCCACCATCACCGCCACAGTCACAATCACCGCCACCACAATCACCGCCACCACAATTACCGCCACCACCGCCACCACCACCACAATCACCGCCACCACCACTACAATCACCGCCACCACGATCACTGCCACCAACCACCATCACCGCCACCATCACAATCACTGTCACCACCACCACAATCACCGCTGTCACAGTCACTGCCGCCACTAGTATTACTGCTACCACCACCACAATCACCGCCACCACCACTACAATCACCGCCACCACGATCACTGCCACCAACCACCATCACCGCCACCACCACCACAATCACCGCCACCACCACCACCACAATCACCGCTGTCACAGTCACTGCCGCCACTAGTATTACTGCTACCACCACCACAATCACCGCCACCACCACTACAATCACCGCCACCACGATCACTGCCACCAACCACCATCACCGCCACCACCACCACAATCACCGCCACCACCACCACAATCACCGCTGTCACAGTCACTGCCGCCACTAGTATTACTGCTACCACCACCACAATCACCGCCACCACCACTACAATCACCGCCACCACGATCACTGCCACCAACCACCATCACCGCCACCACCACCACAATCACCGCCACCACCACCACCACAATCACCGCTGTCACAGTCACTGCCGCCACTAGTATTACTGCTACCACCACCACAATCACCGCCACCACCACTACAATCACCGCCACCACGATCACTGCCACCAACCACCATCACCGCCACCACCACCACAATCACCGCCACCACCACCACAATCACCGCTGTCACAGTCACTGCCGCCACTAGTATTACTGCTACCACCACCACAATCACCGCCACCACCACCACAATCACCGCCGTCACAGTCACTGCCGCCACTAGTATTACTGCTACCACCACCACAATCACCGCTGTCACAGTCACTGCCGCCACTAGTATTACTGCTACCACCACCACAATCACCGCTGTCACAGTCACTGCCGCCACTAGTATTACTGCTACCACCACCACAATCACCGCTGTCACAGTCACTGCCGCCACTAGTATTACTGCTACCGCCACCACAATCACCGCTGTCACAGTCACTGCCGCCACTAGTATTACTGCTACCACCACCACAATTGACACCGCCACCGCAATGGCCACGACCGCCGCCACCATCACAACCGCCGAGTCCGACTCGGCTCTCGCGGGTCGAACGAGAACCACCTTCTGGGGTCGCCCTACGGATAGAGGCTCGTCACACCCGCCCCATAGGAATGTGGAATGCCCACCACTGTCTCTACGGGGCCGCGAAACGCACGAGCCCCAACGCTCACTCTCGAGCCGCAGGACAACTGCCCTTTGGGGGGTTTTTTTGTTTGTCGTTTCTGTTTGTGATCCCCGCCGCCGCCCCCTACGCCCGTCCCGTCGAGTCGACGCTGACGGGAAACAGGGCCGCCCGGGCCGTAATGTCATTACCTGGACAGTCCCGTTTAGGGCCGGAGTCGCAACCTCGTTAGCTTGCGTCATTTCCTTTGGGTGGGTGGGTGGGTGGAGGGGGGGGGGGCCCTGCCGAGATGCGCAACACGATCTCGGCGTCGCAATTTCCCCGCCCCCCCCCCCCCCCCCCCCGGAGGAAAAGGCGAACGGCGCTTAGGCACGCACTTCCACGCACAACGACGTCCGCCGTGCGCTCGTACGCGTGTCGAAACTTCTTTCGCACCATACAAAGGCGACCTAGCTGGAGGTGGTGGCGGCGGGGAGGGGAGGGGTGGGAGGACAGCAAACTAAATGCAACAAAAAACGACTGCCGTGGTGACTACTGCTGCCGGCGGTGACTGTTACCACGTTTGCCGTGAACGCCACGCGTCGATTCCTCCGCGGTCTGTGCCACACGCTGACCGTCCCGTGCCACCCGCACTCTCTCTCGTCTAGCCTAGGGGCTCCCCCGGTGGCAGCTGTCCCTGTGCGTCGGTCTGCCAGTAGGGTGGCGATGCTGCTGCTGTGTGGTCTAGCCTAGGGGGCACCCCCAGTGGCAGCTGCCCCTGTGCGTCAGTCTGCCAGTAGGGTGGCGATGTTGTTGCTGCTGTGTGGCCTAGCCTAGGGGCAGCTGGGGGTGCCCCTAGGGACAGGGATGAGACGGTACGGGACAGGGAGGACAGGACGGGGGGGACGGGACATGACAGGGGTAAGGGAAAGAGACGGTACGGTATGGGGGGAGATGGGATGGAGGGGGGGGGAGGGATGGGGAGGGGGGAGCAAGGCAGTAAGTGGCAGCCCCGGGGGAGGATCTCAAGGAATCAAGGGAGGAGAGAGCTCCATTGTGCAGATGGCACGGCGGTTTAGTCTCAAGCCGGGTGGCCTCGGGGCTATCCTGTGCATGCGTCATCCCTTTAAACCCGCAGACTTACCCCCCCACCCACCCACTCGCTCACCCACCCACCCCCCTACCCACTCACCCACCCACTCACTCACCCACCCACCCCCGCCCTACTGGCCTGTGGTTAATGTGGCTCAGTCTCCCAAGGCAGCGTAGTGGGGGAGCGTGACACGCGACGAGCTGGCCAAGCCCATTCCATTAAGCGAGCCTGCCGCTTTGTTTGTATCGCCCCGGGGGCTTGTTGCAGAGAGGCCCGTAGACTCGCATAGGGACACACACAGAGGGACACGCACAGAGGGACACGCACAGAGGGACACGCACAGAGGGACATTCCTGTGGGTCTCTGTGTGAGCCTGTGGGTCTCTGTGTGAGTCTGTGGGTCTCTGTGTGAGTCTGTGGGTCTCTGTGTGAGTCTGTGGGTCTCTGTGTGAGTCTGTGGGTCTCTGTGTGAGTCTGTGGGTCTCTGTGTGAGTCTGTGGGTCTCTGTGTGAGTCTGTGGGTCTCTGTGTGAGTCTGTGGGTCTCTGTGCGAGTCTCTGTGTGAGTCTGCGTGAGTCTGTGGGTCTCTGTTTGAGTCTGTGGGTCTCTATGAGTCTGTGAGTCTCTGTGTGAGTCTGTGGTTCTCTGTGTGAGTCTGTGGTTCTCTGTGTGAGCCTGTGAGTCTCTGTGTGAGTCTGTGGGTCTCTGTGTTAGTCTGTGGGTCTCTGTGTGAGTCTGTGGTTCGCTGTGTGAGCCTGTGGGTCTCTGTGTGAGTCTGTGGGTCTCTATGAGTCTGTGAGTCTCTGTGTGAGTCTGTGGTTCTCTGTCTGAGTCTGTGGGTCTCTGTTTGAGCCTGTGGGTCTCTATGAGTCTGCGAGTCTCCGTGCGAGTCTCCGTGCGAGTATCTCACCGCCCCTCCTCATCCCCCCAACCTCCTCGTCGCCCAGCTCACCGACGTGTCCACGGAGCTGGCGGAGCTCCACTGCGGCCTGCGCGTCGCCGCGGTGGCCGCGGACGCGGCGGACGGCGCGACGCTTGCGCGCCTGGCGGCGCAGCCGGTGCTGTGCCCCGAGGACGCGGTGGTGGCGCTCCTCGACTCGCTGCGCAACCGGGAGCTCTACTCGGCCCTCCTGCAGCTCAAAATCTCCAGGTTTCACCGCCTCCTCCGCTCAGCGCCGCTACCACCACCGTCCACAGCTACCACCACCTCCTTCATCACCACTACCACCACCGTCCACAGCTACCACCACCTCCACAGCTACCACCACCACCGTCCACAGCTACCACCACCTCCTTCATCACCACTACCACCTCCTTCATCACCACTACCACCACCGTCCACAGCTACCACCACCACCGTCCACAGCTACCACCACCTCCTTCATCACCACTACCACCACCGTCCACAGCTACCACCACCTCCACAGCTACCACCACCACCGTCCACAGCTACCACCACCTCCTTCATCACCACTACCACCTCCTTCATCACCACTACCACCACCGTCCACAGCTACCACCACCGCCTTCATCACCACCACCACCACCGCCACCGTCCACCTCCTCCTGCACCACCACTACCAGAGTCACCTCCGCATCCTCCGCCGCCGCCACCACCACGTCCACATCTACCGCCACCTGCAACACCACCTCCTCCACGCTACCTCCAGCACCATCACCACATCCTCCAGCTCCTCCACATCTACCACCACCACCTCCTGCAACACCACCACAATTAGCTCCTCCACCGCCACCTCCTCTACCACCACCACTATTTCCTCCATCACCACCACAGCTACCTCCACCACCACAACTATCTCCTTCACCACCACCTCCTCTACCACCACCACCACCTCCTCCTCCACCACCACCTCCTCTACCACCACCACCACCCCTCCATCACCACCACAACTACCTTCACCACCACTACAACTATCTCTTTCACCACCACCTCCTCTACCACCACCACCATCACCTCCTCTACCACCACCACCACGTGCCCCCCTCCCCCGACCGTGTGTGTGTGTGTGTGCGTGCAGGGCCACATGGCCGGCCGACGTGTTTGGCTCTCCGGACGACGACGAGGTGCTCACGCTGCTCTGCATGCGCTTCCGGCACGCCACGCTGGGCCAGGCCGGCGCCTTTGCGCTGGCGCCGTCGTCGGCGTCGGCGTCGTCCGGCGACCCGGCTCAGCTCGCCTGCACCAACCTCATGCAGCTCAACATGCACGTGCAAGACGCGCTGCGTCTTGTGCAGGCCTCCAGCTTCTACCCGCAGCAGCAGCAGCAGCGCCAGCAGCAGCAGCAGCAACAGCAGCAATCCCATGAGCCACAGCAGCAGCAGCAGCACCAGCAGCACGAACAGTATGAGCTACAGCAGCAGCAGCAGCTGGAGCTTCATTATCAGCAGCAGCAGCATCAGGAGCAGCAGCAGCAGCAGGAAGAACAGGAGGAGCTTGTTTATCAGCAGCATGATCAGCAGCAGAATGATCAGCAACAGCATGATCAACAGCATGATCGACAACAGCAGCAGCAGCAGCTTCATGATGATGTTCAACAACACCAGCAGCATCAGCAGGAAGATGATGATCGTACTACGGAGATGGTGGGAGAAGATTTGTAGTAACGCTGTACAAAACGAGCTCTGGCTTACACCTGCAGCAGCAGGAGCAGCTGCAGCAGCAGCAGGAGCTACGGCTGCAGTAGCAGCAGCAGCAGATGTAGTATCTGCAGCAACAGCTGGATATTTAGTTATCAGCAGCAGCTGGAAGAACTTAGATTGACAGAGATGGTTGGGCAAGATTCAGTAATGCTGTAAAAAATCTAGCTTCTTACCTGCAGCCGCAGCGTCATCATCAGCAGCAGCAGCTTCATCTCCAGCATCATCAGCATTATAAGCAGCATCATTGTCAGCAGAAGCTTAATCATAACGAGCTGCAGCTGCAGAAGATTCGTCAACATCATCATCAGCAGCAGCTTCATCATCAGCAGCAGCAGCAGCAGCGGCAAGCTTCATCATCACCATCAGCAGCAGCAGCAGCTGCTTCAATAGCAGGAGCATTTTAACAAGCTTCATCAATCGATTGTTTTATTGAGAGGTATAAGCACTGAACCGCAAAGCCAAGCAAAAATAATTACGTGAAATAATTTATCTTTTTTGTTAATATCGGTAACCTTCGTTGCGTCGTCACGGTGCAGATCGCTCACTGAGCAGTGCGTTGGAAAACGGCCCGCAGAAGCAGATATCACAGAGCTATCTCCGAGTTCCCCTTCTTCAAGTGACGCTCTGGTCCACGCACAGAACGACCCCCGCGGAAGCGGATGTCGGAGAGCTACCTCTGAGATCTCCGTCTTCGTCTTCAAGTGACGCTATGGTCCACGCACAGAACGACCCCGTGGAAGCGGATGTCATAGAGCTATAACCTCTGAACATTTTAGCAGCACGTTTTTTTACCTCTCGGTCATCGTCCACCGAGATGACACCATCAGCTCATGGCGCTTGAGAACCGAGTTGAATCACAACTCGGCGACTGTGACCCGGATTCGAACCCAGGCCCTCAGCGGTTGCCGGCTCTGAGTCGCTTTGACCTCGTCAGAATAATATGAATGAGCTAAACGACAACTAGCTAAACAAAACAAAAATACATTTTACCAGGTAAGGCCCAACTGAGCTAAGATGTAGCCCTTTTTCAAAAGCGACGTGGCTATCACAAATGATAGCTCAATCTAGTGGCTTATCATCATCATCATCGTCACCACGTGGAAATGTATAGCAGCAGTCAAATATTCTGAACGTGAGTTTATAAACGTAGAGGTGGTAAAAGACTGGAGGACCCTAAGAAAACTCCACGCCAACACGGGGAGAGTGACGCGCAAACTCCAAATGTACAGCAGGCATCGTCAGGGTCGGGATCGAACCCACGGACGCCCTGCGTACCAGGCGACATAGTTAACATCTCCTAGCCACCGTGATGATGATGATGAGAGAGAGAGACACGCAAACTCCAAATGTACAGCAGGCATCGTCAGGGTCGGGATCGAACCCACGGACCCTCTGCGTACCAGGCGAGGGAGTTAACATCTCCTAGCCACCGTGATGATGATGAGAGAGAGAGAGAGACGCGCAAACTCCAAATGTACAGCAGGCATCGTCAGGGTCGGGATCGAACCCACGGACCCTCTGCCTACCAGGCGAGGTAGTTAACATCTCCTAGCCACCGTGATGATGATGAGAGAGAGACACACAAACTCCAAATATACAGCAGCAGGCGTCAGGGTCGGGATTGAACCCACGACCTCCTGCGTACCAGGCGAGGCAGTTAACATCTCCTAGCCACCGTGATGATGATGAGAGAGAGAGAGACGCGCAAACTCCAAATGTACAGCAGGCATCGTCAGGGTCGGGATCGAACCCACGGACCCTCTGCATACCAGGCGAGGTAGTTAACATCTCCTAGCCACCGTGATGATGATGTGAGAGAGAGAGACGCGCAAACTCCAAATGTACAGCATGCGTCAGGGTCGGGATCGAACCCACGCCCTCCTGCGTACCAGGCGACGTAGTTAACATCTCCTAGCCACCGTGATGATGATGAGAGAGAGAGAGACACACAAACTCCAAATGTACAGCATGCGTCAGGGTCGGGATCGAACCCACGCCCTCCTGCGTACCAGGCGACGTAGTTAACATCTCCTAGCCACCGTGATGATGATGAGAGAGAGAGAGACACACAAACTCCAAATGTACAGCAGGCATCGTCAGGGTCGGGATCGAACCCACGGACGCCCTGCGTACCAGGCGACATAGTTAACATCTCCTAGCCACCGTGATGATGATGAGAGAGAGAGAGACACACAAACTCCAAATGTACAGCAGGCATCGTCAGGGTCGGGATCGAACCCACGGACGCCCTGCGTACCAGGCGACGTAGTTAACATCTCCTAGCCACCGTGATGATGATGAGAGAGAGAGAGACACACAAACTCCAAATGTACAGCATGCGTCAGGGTCGGGATCGAACCCACGCCCTCCTGCGTACCAGGCGACGTAGTTAACATCTCCTAGCCACCGTGATGATGATGAGAGAGAGAGAGACACACAAACTCCAAATGTACAGCATGCGTCAGGGTCGGGATCGAACCCACGCCCTCCTGCGTACCAGGCGACGTAGTTAACATCTCCTAGCCACCGTGATGATGATGAGAGAGAGAGAGACACACAAACTCCAAATGTACAGCATGCGTCAGGGTCGGGATCGAACCCACGGACCCTCTGCGTACCAGGCGACGTAGTTAACATCTCTTAGCGACCGTGGCACCCCCCCCTATTTTATTAAAATTGAAATTAAAAAAACCCTTACACAAAACGCTTCGCCAGTCTTCGTTGTGGTCGGGCAGCCATCTTGAGAATCCCGTCTTGAGATGGTGGGGGGACAAAATAGCGCTCCCGATGTCATTATCCTCGCCGTCCATGATCTATCCGCTGTTGGATGAAGGCCTCCCCGATGACAATGATGTCGGTCGTAGGGTTTGTTTTTAATTATTATTATCGGCCACACTTGGTCAGTGCGGTTGCTTGAAGTGGCTGCGGAGCTACCGGGAGTGGTTTGAAGGCATCGCGTGCCACTGACGCCGGCCGTGGCTGCCATTCCGTAGTCCCGCGTCGACTGGCTTCGCAATATCCGTCCAGACGGTGGATGATCCGTAAAGGCACAGCAGCGGCCTTGAGTGCGCCGGGTTAATTGCTTCAAGGGCGCCAGTGATTTGTCGTCCGTTGCTCCCTGTTCTTCCGATGAGCATCCCAAAATCGGAATTTTTTTTCCTGGAGGAATCCGATGAGCTACGAAGCTCTTTTTTTTACTTACGGATGTCCGGTAGAGGGTTAGCAGCTCGGCAAGTTACAACTCGGTCTTAATTTGAAGCTTTCGTGACTGCAGGAATCCATTCTCTTTGGTTCTTTCGGTAAAGTCACCACGTAGGTAGAAATTAAGTTACAACTCGCGTAAAAAAAACATCCCCCCCCCCCCCCCGTGTAGCCTGAACAGACTGTTGGGGCTGTCAGCGAGCAGCACCTACGAAGGCCGGCACGGCACACGAGGTGGTGGGTGGCCAGCACCACGCCCGGCCGCCTTTGTCTCCCTAGCGGCGATGTTTACACACCGTACCAGGTAACTCGTTTGAGGCTGAGTCGACCTAGTGGGAGGCCCAGGATCTATTCGGATAATCGTCACCGGTGGTGTTGGCCGTGAGCGGGAATCGAACTCGGGTAAACGGGTCCGCGGTGCAGCACGCTAACCACTACAAAGGAGGACATGAGTTCGATCCCCGACCCTGACGATCCCTGCTGTATATTTGGAGTTTGCGTGTCTCTCTCTCCGTGGTGAGATGTTGACTCCCTCGCCTGGTGTACAGGAGGTCGTGGGTTTGATCCCGACCCTGACGCCTGCTGCTGTATATTTGGAGTTTGCGTGTCTCTCTCTCCGTGGTGAGATGTTGACTACCTCGCCTGGTATACAGGAGGTCGTGGGTTCAATCGCGACCCTGACACCTGCTGTATATTTGGAGTTTGCGTGTCTCTCTCTCCGTGGTGAGATGTTAACTACCTCGCCCGGTCTACATGAGGTCGTGGGTTTGATCCCGACCCTGACTCCTGCTGCTGCTGTATTTGGAGTTTGTGTCTGTCTCTCCGTGGTCACGTGGATTTTTCTTCGGGTCCTCTGGTTTTTTTCCCTCCACGTTTCGATTCAACGTCATGCGTTTGTAGTCATTTGGCTGCTGCTGTAAATTTTCACACGGCGATGACGGCGATGACGACGACGGGCTATCGTTTGTGATGGGCAGGTCGCCTCTAAAAAAAAAAGAGCTGTGTAGCTCGGTAGGGGCCTTACCTGGTAAAAAAAAAATAGTTTTAGGTAGCAAACATTGCTCAGCTGATGCTTTTATTACGTTTGTTCGTTTATCATGATGAAAATAATAATAATTATCGTAGCGTTATTGTGCAACTAACTTTGCGCGGGGGACCCTTTTTTGCCGGCATCCAGGCGATGAAATAAGAATCGGCGTTTGTCCGCTCCTCTTTTCTTTTCTTTCTTTCCCCACACCCCGGCAAGAACGCCGCAGGAGGGTGTCAACATTGCCGGGCGGCAAACGGGCGCAGCGGCAGCGGCGGACAAAGCGGCAGGAGCAGCGGCCAGCAAACGGGCGCTGCCGTCAGTTGCCCTGTGCTCGCTGCCGTCCCCGTACCGCGAGAGTTTTATTTAATAGACGTGGGAAGGAGGACGATGTGGAGTGGCCAGCATGCATGCGGGGCCGTGACGCTGATGAACCCCCCCTCCCCCCCCGCCCGCCTTTACAGATGGACGTCGGGCTCACTCGCTCCTGTTGCCATCGTCTCCCTGCCTGAGATGTGGCGACCTCGGCTGCCACGGGTTAGGTGGGTGCGGGGAAGAGGGTTTGACGTTTGCGTGATCCACCAACCCCCCCCCCCCACTCCTGCTCACTGCCTCCACGGTGCAGAGTTGGGAGCCAAAGTGCGGCACAGCCGCCGTCGCTGATGATGATGCCGCCGATGATGACGCTGATGACGCCGATGACGATGCTGCCGATGATGACGATGCTGATGACGCTGATGGAGACGCTGCTGATGATGATGCCGATGGCGATGCTGATGATGCTGATGACGCTGATGAAGATGCTGCTGATGATGATACCGATGGCAATGCTGATGACGCTTATGAAGATGCTGCCGATGATGATACCGATGGTGATGATGCTGATGACGCTGATGAAGATGCTGCTGGTGATGATGCCGATGATGCTGATGATGCTGATGAAGATGCTGCTGCTGATGATATCAGTGATGATGCTGCCGATGACGATGCTGCCGATCATGACGACGCTGCCGAGGGACACTTTTATCACCCGTTGTCAGCTGTCGCGAAGAGATTGAAACGCAAGGAGCGGAGTTTTAACGGAGACGCGGCGACAACTTGGAACTCGCCGTGTTAGGAGCCAAGGTGCAACACGGCCACCGTGGCTGATGATGGCGATGCTGCCGATGATGCCGATGATGACGCTGCCGCAGAACACTTATCGCCCGTCGTCAGCCTGTCGCCAGGAGATTGAAACGCAAGGAGCTGGAGGATTAACGGAGACGAAAACTTGGAACGCGCCGATAGAGAGGTTGCAATGGAGGAGCGCGATTGCGAGCCGAGAGAGGAGGAGAGAGAGAGAGACGCGACGAACCCTTTGGGAAAACTCTCTGCATGCACCCTGACGCGAGCTGATGGGCTTCCCGCTCCGATCGATCGGTCGATGGGAAAGTTGGGACCGTTTGTAACGTCCGCCGGGGTAAAACCCAACGATGATTTATATTTTTTTTT